TCTTAATTTCCTTTCTCCTCAATGTTTGACATTTATGTATTTTCTTTCTTTTTTGAAAAAAATTTTATTTGTTTAATTATTATTTATTTGGCTGTGCCAGGTCTTAATTGTGGCATGTGGAGTCTTTTAGTTGTGGCGTGTGAACTCTTCAGTTGCTGCATGTGGCATCTAGTTCCCTGACCATGATTTGAACCCAGACCCCCTAAATTGGGAGTGCAGAGTACCACTGAACTACCAGGGAACCCCAATTTTTATGTTTTCATTTTTTATATTATTTCCTTTGTTACCTTAAGTGGTAGTTGTGAGCCTGTATCTTTGTTGTGAATCTGTATCTCTTAAGATTCCTAGACTCTGGGTTTCCCCTTGCTGCTGAGTTCTGGAAACTGCCTCCAAGCGGAAGTGCTGGGGGGTGGTTGGCGCTTGCCCTTCATTTCTTCTCTTGTAGATTGTAGTTCTGAGCTGCTTGTTTTGTGGTATAAGGCCTGAAAATACTCATTTCCTGTATTTTATTTACTTTTCTAGTTGTTCATGGCAGGAACATGATTTGGATCCTCCTGGCTGGAAGCTGGAGTCTTTTAATGGCTTCTTAGCTCCTGAATCTAGTGATTGCTTCATGGCCCTTGTATTGAAGTCTTCAGAGGGAAGCTAGTTCCTTTTCTTTTTAAATACCATCTTTTCCTGTGAGGCTGCCTACTTCTGACTTTCTGCTTCCTTTACTGGATCCTCCTACTTTGCTTGGTACCTTATTAATTGCATCAATAATTGTAATATTACCACCATAAGTCACCCTTGCCAGACCCCATGCTAACTTGATACCTGTTTTCTCATTTTAATTCATAAAGCAACTGCTTAGTATTCTCTAGGGGTCTGTGTTACCCCTTCTTTCCTTCTGTGTATTCTCAAGTTTGGGGCCCCATCTGTTTGCTGATGACTTTTATATTTTTAGCAGTGATTTCTATACTGAGCTCTCAATCTGTCTACCTGATAGTCTGAGCTTTTCTTCTCGGACTTTTAAAAGGAGTACTGACCTACTGCAGTGTAAGTGGAAACTCCTCTGTCTTTCTGTGTCCTATTCTTCATCTCAATGTTGTTTAACCCATGGTTAAACACACACCAAAAAACAAGCTTCCCACGAACAGACATACACTCTGCATGTTAATTTGACTTTCTAATCTCTTCTTGCATCTAGCCCTACTTCTCCATTCATACTTTCCTTGTCTAGTTGGAGCTCTCATCTTTGGTCTGTTACTGACCTCCTAACTGATCGCTGCCTCTCTAGTTGTGTTCATCTAAAATCTGCAGTATTTCTAAATTTTAAATAGAATGTGCTTCCTGGCTTAACTTGTCCAGTATTTCCTTAAATGCTGCTGGGCAACATATGCTTTTGAACACGACACACAAATCTCCTTGTTCAGGCATTTGGTTCCCTTTACATCTTTCTTGTGCTGCTCCTATCACCTGCCCTCTCAGTCGGCATCCTCCCCGACCACACCATGGTTTTTTCAAATGTTTGTTCTTGCGGCTCCCTGTATCCACAGCTTTGACTTGGCTAATACTTCCATGTTCATTTTTGAGGCTTATTCCCTTGTTTCCAGGCCTCTTCATTTTTTGTTCCCACACTCTCCCACATGTAGGTCTAACAGTATGTCTATTATGCATTTAAAGGATCTTTGTTTCACTTTCTTTTACTATATTAGAGGTCCTAGAAGACGAGACATTTTAAAACTCATATTTGTAACTTTTGCACTGCTGAATGCTTGACTGTCAGTTCACTAAGACAGATAGTTCCTGTCTTAAATGACGACACAATTGTCCATCCTTGTTCCCAAATAAAAATGTGGGTGTTTTCCTGGTCACCTATCTTTATCACGTGTAACCAGCTCCAAGTTTTTCAGTTTTGCTTTTACTGGGGTATATGTGTTTGCATTCTTTTGTTCATTTGTTTTTTCGCTTGTTCATTCAATAAATTTCCCTCAGGGCTACTGCCTGTAAGACCATGAGCTAACTATAATGCATGCCAAACATTGCATTGAATTTGTAGAATTTATAGATTAATTTTTGGAGGAATAACATGTAAGTATTACATAGTTTTGGGTACCTGAGGAAAGTTTTTTAAGTATTCCTCTTTGTTTTTTTTAAAGCTTACTTGTAAGCGTTTTAACAGTTCTTTTAGCGTAGATGAGATTTTAAAAATTCTGTTGTATTTTCTAATTTATCATTGCTCATCTGTTGAGAACTGAGCAAATGATCATCTTACCTGGCCAACTTATTAAACTTCTTAGTACTTCTCATAGGCATAGGCTTTCAAATATTGGTTACATCAGTGACAAGTACCACGGTTGTTTTCCTTCTAGTACTTAGTTCACTTAGTTTTTTGTGTTTTAGTATATTTCCTATCTTAGGATATTTGTTGAATAAAAACAGTGATATTTGGCATCCTGGAATTGTTCTGGACTTTAATGAAAATGCTACTTTCTTAGCAGTACCTTGCTGAGTATGATGTTTATCTTGAATAATTTGTAAAGTTGTTTTAAGGAGGCATCACCTATTCTCTTGCTAAGAGTTTTATCCTTAATCCATGTTGAGTTTTATCTGTAACTTGGTTGGTGTCGGTGATGATCAAGTTAATATATTAATGTAAAGAATTACAGTAAGAGATTTCCTGAAGACAGATCCTCAACATTTCTGCTTTTTCCTGATTTACTTAATACAGTGCTAGATTTGAGTGCTACTGGTTTATTGAGTATATTTTCATTTCCATTTGTAAGTAAGATTGGTTTATACTTTTATTTCACTTAGTTCTCTGCTTTTATTTCAGAATTATGCTAGCATTATAAACTTGTTAAAGCATTTCACTTTTTTTAAATTGGAAAAACTGAATCCTCTAAACAACAGAAATTAGTTAATTAGTTATTTCCTAAAGCTCTAGTAGAACGTGTCATAAAATCATTTTGAAAATGGCTATTTCTTGGCACCTTTATTTCCCCAAGTCTAGTAAAGTACCAGGGGCAAAGAGCTTCTTTAGCTCTTGTTGGATTCTCTAGATAAGTTCCTAGGAAATGATTTACTATGTAGAATTGTTTGTTATATTAACAGAGTTTGTTTTAGTCAGAGAAGCATTGTTACCCTTGCTAATTCAACAGGATATGGAATTAGTCTGAAAATGAAATACATGGAAATCTGTCTTCATGTATTGATTTTCTTCATAGAAAGATGCTGTTTGGTGATAGTCTAAATTCAGAGCTAACCTTTATAGGAAAGTGGTCTCATTAGTACCACTCAGTAGAGTATATAATTACCATGTGTAAAAAGACCAAAGGTAACCATTTTATAAATGTATTCATGTCTTGGGTTATTTTAGTATTTTCCATTTTTTAAAGCTTATTCTGTGATTTAGAGTCATTATAATTAATTTATAAGTAAATGATATTTTAGAAGTTAAAGAGCTTTAATTTCAATAAAATCAATTTGGTGTATACATTCACATTTCCCCCTTTTAAAAAATTCAGTGTTTTCAGATAGTCATAAAACTCTGGTATATTGTAGAAGTAATGGGACGTCTGAGTGGTTCTCAGATTAATATGGCAAAGCAGTGGTTCTCAGCCAGGGGCAGTGATGTCCCCACAGAACATTTGGCTGCCTCGGGAGACTCTTTAATTGCCACAGTGGGAGGAAACCACTGCCATGAGTAGGTGGAGGCCGGAGGTGCTAGTGGACATAATATGCTGCACAGGATAGCCCCCTATAAAAAAGGATCTGTCCCCAATGTTAGTGATGCCAGGACTGAGAAACTTGTAAAAGGAAAGCACCCAACCCAACATAAAAGCACGAACACCCAACATAAAAATGTGTTCTTAGATGTGTGCTTATTCTTTCAGCAACTATAACTCTAACTTAATACAGTTTACAAGGCCCTCATGCAAAATGTGTAAAGAGTATTCTGCTCTTGACTGACATCTAGTGAGACATTAACAAATAAATGTAAAACTGAAAGTTGAAATTAAATAAGCATGTAAATCAGAGTTATAGCTAGTTGTTTTTTCTGCTCTTATGAATTTCACATATAAATAATCTAAGAAGAGACTAAAGATTTGTTTAGGGCTACTGAGAAACAGGCTTCCCAGGTGGCTCAGTGGTAAAGAATCCGCCTGCCAATGCAGGAGACACAAGAGACGCAGGTTGGGTCCCTGAGTTGGGAACATTTGTTGGAAAAAGGAAATAACAACCCAGTCCAGTATTTTTGCCTGAAAAATCCCATGGACAGAGGAGCCTGGCAAGCTACAATCCATAAGGTCAAAAAGAGCCGGGTACGACTGATTGACTGAGCACACACATGCACACACACACACACTGAGAAATTATAACTGAGAAGGAGTAGTATGTGGTAAATTCTGAGCTGAAGTACTACTATATCTCCTTTATCTTTTACTTATATTCTTGATTTAATATTAGAGCTTAGGATATAAAATTTTTTCATAGTTTTCTGAGTAAGTGCTGACTTCTGTTGGAAGACTTTTTATATTTTAAAAATCGCTTAAAAATTGTGGCGTTTTAGAGCCAATGGAGACCTAAGTGGTTTAATCCAATTTCTTCACTTACAGAGATTAAACTGTTCTATTTCATAGAGATGAAGCGATCTAGTCTGTGGTTTTGCAGCTTGTCAGGCCAGATCTTAAACTGGAGCCCACTGTTCGTGACTTCTGACTTCTAGTTGAGTTTGCTCTCAGGGTGAGGGGAAGTGATTGTGTACTCTGGGTTCTTCTGAAAGCTTTTATGTTTGTTTTTCAAACTATGGATATTAAAACTGTTAAATTCTTATTTTTTCAAACTATGAACATTAAAACTGTTAAATTCTCATTCCTTTAAAAGGATATATATACACACCTCCATATATGTTTTAAAATGGATTTGTATTTATGTTTATAAATCTCATGTTTTATTTAATTTTTATTTATAAGCATTATGCACATGTAAACATGGATATTTCAAATCTTTCATAGGCAATGACACCTCCAAATCAAGGGCGGCCTGATTCTCCCGTCTACGCTAACCTGCAGGAACTGAAGATATCCCAGTCGGCTCTTCCCCCGCTCCCCGGAAGCCCAGCAATTCAGATTAATGGAGAATGGGAAACTCATAAAGATAGTTCAGGGCGTTGTTATTACTATAACAGAGGTACACAGGAAAGAACTTGGAAACCCCCTCGTTGGACTCGAGATACGAACACAAGCAAAGGAGATTCCCAGAGTCCAGGGGATCAAGAGGTATGAGGAGCTAGGGGGTCAACCAGTGAGTTACAGAGCTTTTTCTCTCTTCGTTCCTCAGAGAAGTAAATAGGTTTGCTTCTAACCTTTGAAATCTCTAAGATACTAAATCTTCTTTCCAAGTTTTATCATATCACTGTTTGTTGCTTCCTAGTGTGTAACTAGTAGAACGCAGCTAGCCCTGTGGCATGCTTACATGTCTAGAGTTCACTGCGTTAATGTTGCCTGTTGCCCGTGGTTTCCCTCACATGCTAGAAGATACTAATCCAGTCATCATTATTGCCAAAGCAGTTACAATTTTTAGAAAAAGAAGGGAAGAAAATATGTGATGTGATTTAGCCAAACAAAAACCCAGTTATTTGATGCTTTTCTTTATGATTTGATGGGACTGGCAAGATACTTCTCAGTTTTTGTTAGAGGTACAAGTTCACTTTTTATGTCTGTGTAGGGAAAATAAGTATAATATAAGTCCTTTGCTACAAGCTGAACATCCTCTAAATCTGACAGTTTACCCTAAAAACATTTCTTGATTGCCTGGTTGTTTTCTGTGTTTTTGGCCATGCCACGTAGCTTGCAGGATCTTGGTTCTCCTGCCAGGGATCAAATCTGTGCACCTGCAGTGGAAGTGTGAATCTTAACCACTGAGCTACCAGGGAAGTCCCTAAAACTAGTTTCTCTAACAAGTGTCCATACCGTTTCCCCACTCACCTTGGTTTCTCAGGCACACAGACATACACAGACACACACACCCAGTGCAACACACACACACACATACCCCTACTCCCCCCTCCCCCCCAACATACACAGACACACACACCCCTACCCCCCACCCCCCTGGAGGGGAGTGCAATGAATTGGCCAGTAGTGCTTTGAGAAGCACTCATCTCTGAGGCCTGGAGAGATTCCCTGGGACTGTGCAGATGTGCAGAGAAGCCTGGGTAGGATGGATGGAAGGAGTTACATCCTGCTCTTTGGTAGACAGCGGCCCCTGCACCCACACAGGACACCTGCACTTAGAGCAGCTGACTTGTCAGTACAGCAGAACTCCAGCTAGGTAGGAGCTGGAGAAATCAGGTAACACATCCTGTGTTTAGCAGAGTCTAAGAGCTTTGTATAGTTAATAACCCCTCCTCTTGTCCTATTTTTCAGTTGGTTATTTATAGCTATGCTTTGGTGGTAGCTTGTATTAATACTGAGAGTTGGGGAATGAGGTGGAGGGTTAGTGAGAAATTGTTCCTGTGTTACTATAGTAAGAGAAGTGTTAGGGAAGTGATTTGAATTTGTGTGTCTAGAAAGATTTGAAGGTAAGTTGTCCTGTGTGTCCATGATAAAGTAAAGTCTTATCATTTGGAAGAATTAGGGAAAGGGTTAAATTATAGAATAAAGGGATTTAAAGTACGTATGGAAACTTGAATAGCCTTTCTTAGGTTTCTGTTACACTTCAGAGACTAGATGGGAGTGATCTGTAAATCACAGTCTGAGCTCACACCTCTCTACTCTCTGCACATATTGTCTTAAAATAGGTGTTTCCAGAGTGGCCGGGTCACATCTTCCAGTAACTTCTTGAGAAAATTTGCGTATGGAGGTAAAATTGAGACCATGTGTGTGAAAATGTTGACACTGTACTCTCATATTTAACTGAGAGTGTGCCTGAGTGCAGAATTCTAGGTTGGAGATCATTTTTTCTCACAGTTGTGAAGTATTTTGAACTTGACTTTATGGTGATCTGGGCCAGCTGCATGTTGGATGTCTCCAGTGTTGGAACCATGAGGTCTTCCGTTTCAGACTGACCAGTCTCTGCAGAAGTCAAAATGCTGGCCAGTAAGAGCTGCCCAGGGTGTTGGTAGCAGCGTTTATTTCACACACAGCCCCTTAGTCTCCCCTCTTTCTGTTTGGCACCCGTGTTCTAGTTGTGCCTGTTGTTTCCCAGCTTAGAATTCCTCTTGAGAAGGAGTCAGTCCCTGTGCTTCTGTTGCAGGAAGGGAGGGTGCGCACTGGTGGCCAAGCGTGAGAAGGGAATCCTGGTGACATCAGTCCTCAGTTTCGTACCTCGGTTCCAGGAGGAACCTGTTGCTGTGTACACTTGTTGGATTTCATCTTTCCTCTTCAGTGCCGCCCCAACCCCCACCCGTTTAGATTCTGCTTGCTTTGTGGATAATTTAGGTTTTTGTTCATCTGCTTCTCAGCCTCCAGAGTTCTGTGGCTCTTGTGTCTTTCTGTGTTCTCCCTCTTCTTGGGGGTTCAGATCTTTTTGAGCTTATTTCAGTACTGTTATCTTATTGGGGTTCAAGTGGGAGCAAACTTCTCTTTCATTCTAACTCAGAAGCTTGTTATTTTAGTGGTTACCCCGGAACAGTGGTTCTCACCTAGGGCAGTTTTGTCTCCAGGGGACATTAGGCAATGTCTGGGGATGTCTTGGGTTGTTACAGCTCAGGAAGGGTTACCAGCGTCTCATGGGTAGAGACCAGACTGTTGCGCATCCTGTGATTCACACGACAGCTCTCACCACGAGGAATAATCTGGCCCTAACTGTCCGTGATGCTGCTGCTAGGAAATGCTACCTTAGAAGTTGTAACCGGCGTATGTGTCAGAGTCTACAATTAATCAGCATCTTCTTGCTCCTTGAAACCCTCCAAGAACTCTTTAAGTGCTGTGGGGCCTTTTGTTGTTTATTTTATTTCTATTTTCTAGGCCCCCATCCCACCCCTGCGACTGTTGTACATTTGTTGTTTAGTGACTAATTCATGTCCGACTCTTTTGTGATCCCATGGACAGTAGCCCACCAAGCTCCTTTGTCCATGGGTTTTCTCTCAGCAAGAATACTGGAGTGGGTTGCCATTTCCTTCTCCAGGGGATCTTCCCAGCCCAGGGATTGAACCCATGCTTCCTGTTTGGCAGGTGGGTCCTTCACCACTGAGCCACTAGGGAAACCCCACTGTTGTACATGGTGACTCTTAAAATTAGTCCTCATATTTACCAGTTTCTTTTTCAGATTTCTTAGGCAGATTACATTATCTTGAATAATTTTTTTACTGTCCTAAGTACATACCCATACCTTTAAATTTCCTTAGTGAGCCTCCATTAGTGATAAGAGTCTTGGTTTTCATTTGCCTGGAAATTTATTTTTCATTATTTTTCAAGACTATCTTTACCTGGTACACAGTTCTAAGGTGATTGTTTGCTTTTTGTTTTTTTCCAGTTCCTTGAGACTTACTCTCGTGTTTTCAGGCTTCTGTTATTAATATGCACAGTTCAGTCTGTAGGTCTCGTCTTAAAGGAGGCTTTGAGGACCTTGTGCCTGTAATTTCACTGTGATGTGATTAGGTGAAGTTATCTTTTTTTATTTCCTGCCCTGGCTTTGTTGGGAATCCCAGATTTGAGGAGTTTCTGTCTTTGATTAGTTCTGGAAAATTCCTGTGTATCTACATACATTATCTATATACAGCTCCTGTCTCATTTTCTTTTTCCTCTCCTTTTGGGACTGTGATTAGGTACATGTGTACTCTGCTTGCTCCATTAGCAAAGTTTCTTGATTCCCATTACACTTAACACTTTATTGCTGCACCTCTCTGAGCTTTGTCCTCAGTCATTTTCAAGTTAGGCTCCTGTTTGCTGTTTCTTCATCATGTGTGTTTATTTGCTATTAAACCAACCCTTGAACTTAAAAAATGTGTTATTGTTAATTTGTTTGGGGGAGCTGTCCATGTTACTAGTTTGAAAAGTGTGAAACATACAGAAAAGTGGAAAGAATAGCACATTGAGCTCCTGTATGCTAGGTATCCTTCATTTGGATGTACAGGTTGTTACCACTTCACCACACTTGCCTTGTTTCTTTATTTCTTTATTCTTTGACTAGACTGGGTCTTCGTTGCTGCACGTGGGCAGGCTTCTTACTGCTTCTCTTCTGCAGAGCGGTGGCTTCTCGTTGCAGAGCTTGGGCTGTCAGGCACATGGACTTCAGAAGTTGCACACATTTCTTTCTCCCTCCTTTCACCCTTCTATCTCCACTAGTTGTTTTATTCTGAATCATTTGTCCATACAATGTAATGTTTTATTCTCTAAGTATAAGGACTTTTTCCAGCAAAACAAATTGAAAACATATTGAAAAATGCATTTATCACATCCAAGAAATTTAATATCTGAATGTTATTTAATGCAAAGTTAATATTCAGTGTTTCTCACTGGTCAGTTAATATCCTTTATGTTTTTTATTCCTGCCAGTGAATGATCATATGTTGCATTTATTTGTCATATTTTTCTTAGATCTTATTTTCTACTTCATTTTTTGTAATTTCAGTATATAAAGTCTTTAAAAGAGTCTGAATATGCTGTTTTTCTGCCGACTCACTCATGCTGTTTGTTTCATGTCGTGTGTGTGTGTTTTAATGTGAGATGATAGTTGTTGGAGATCATAGATAACAAATCTTTAATGCTAATGTTGAAAGTTCCTTCCTTCAGAGAGGTTTTCCTTGTTTCTCTCAGGTGCTGGGGAAACTAGTATCCTGTGGACATTTGAAACTGAATTTTCAGTCTTAGTTTCCCTAGGCCACCTAGGTAGTAGTAATGTGAATGCATAAGACTGGCTTGTTGGGTTCTCCCCTAATTCCCCCCTGTTAGTCCTGTGGTTTTCCTAGTGTGCACTAGAGGGACAAGGTTTGTTTCTGGTTTACCCTATAACTGCAGGTATAATTCTTTGGGGTCCCCTGTCTTTATTGTGGGACTCCCCATCTTAGGTTGTCCCGAGTCCTGATCCCCAGCACATCTGCATGGTCTTGAAAACTAATGTTTTAGCTCAAGGTTTGGTAAATGCCTTCTTGAAGAAAGCTGCCTTTTTTATTCTTCTTACCAATCTGGATTCTTGCTTCCAGTTAGTTTTATTCCTGAGTATTTCTTAACCTCTTGCTCCTTGATGGTTTTGGAAAAAATTGTGATGTAATATGATGTGACATTTGTATATATTGCCAAAATGATCACAATAAACATAGTTAACATCTGTCACCGTACATAGTTACACAGAATATTTTTTTCTGGGAATGAGAACTTTTAAGATCTACTCTTTTAGCAAATTCTGAATGTGCAGTGTTGTATTATTAACTCTGTAACTATGCTGTAGATACCATCCTCAGGACTTAATTTATTTTGTCACTAGGAGTCTGCACCTTCTGACCCTCTTCACCCATTCCCTATGTCTCTGTCAACCACCAGTCTGTTCTCTGTACCTATGAGCTTGTTTGTTTGGTTAGTTTTCACGTTCCACATGTGAGTGAGATCACTGGGTATTTGTCTTTCTTCTGCAAGTTATTTCATTTAGCATACTTCCCTCAAAAATCTATCCATGTTGTCACAAATGACTAAATTTCTGTTTTCTTTAATGGCTGAATAATATTCTCCGTACAGATTGCCATTTATTCTGTTTCTAAAAGATTCTTATTGTACCTCTCTGATATTAGCTTATGTTTTAAGTGATCTCAATTAGATTAAAATAATCCTGATTTTTCAGTTAGGTTTTCCATTTTTTAAAACCATTGCTATTACAAAAGATGTATAGCTCACTCCATTCAAGACTTTTATGAAGTTGACTTTGTCAGTTTTTATGAACATGTTACTGACATTAGGATGTTTGTTTCTTGCACAGCATTGAGAATCTACACATCTGAGTGTTTCAGACCAAATATGGTGGTAGAAAATTTGATCTATTGAGTAGATGTAATTGTAGAAACTGTTTTACCTGAACGTGACCCTAGAAGGGTCATTTGCATAATTAGCCCAGTAAATATTACACTGAATTTCTTAATCTTTCTGTATTATGCTTGAATTCGTTCAATATTATTTTTTCCTTCTTGTAAAGTATAGTTTTGAATAGTTTTTAACAAGCATTTGTGTTGAGTGAGTCAGGAAAACTTGATTATCAATTAGAAAATAAAATATAGTGTTACAGAGCTAGTGTCTTTTCCTCCCCTCTCCCATCCCACACACTTTAAAAAAATTAGCTCAAGCTATATTTATTAAGCACTTTTTTGCTGGGTGTTTGGCTAGGAACTTGCGATTAATAGGTGAAATTTTCAAGAATCTCAGTCTAATGAAGTGCCCTCACCTCCTACTTTGCTTAGGCATAGATGTGCATACATACATTTGCCCTATCCCTATCATTTTTTAACCTGATTTCAGTTAAAAGTAGCACAGCATAGAAGGTAGCATTTTTATCTCTCAGTCTGAAAACATTGTTCTCATAGTGAATATTTCTAGGCTTGCATTAATGCAATATAATAACTTATTAATTTCCCTGCACCACTTACAGTATACCATTAAAAAGACTAAACAATTTGTTATGAAAATTAAATAAATATTTGAATATATTCAAGATCTCTTAGTATGTATAGCCAAATAAAGTCAATTGCTTAGATTTTCAGCTGGTGTATATGTATATTCAAAGAAGAACAATCCTTATGTTTCTGACTATTTGTAGCTTCTTTCATCAGAAGAAAACTACCACAGCATTTGTCACAGCCAGTCAGATAGTCAGTGTGGTTCTCCTCCAAGGGGTTGGTCAGAAGAGTTGGATGAACGTGGGCATACCTTATATACCAGTGACTATACTAATGAAAAGGTACATTCTTTTTTTCTCATCTAGTTTTCTTGGCAGATTCCTCTCATAAAATCATTGTGTACGGAAGCTCTAGTAGTATTTTAAAAACTCATGGAAATATTTTCTTGTAATTTTGTAGTCATGTCAACTGACAGTTCGAAAACTCAATGTAACTACTGATTCATGGTTTAAGCTGCTTCCAGTTATCATAATTTTTGTGGTATCAACCTGTTTCAGAACCTTTTTAAGAGTAGACCCGTTGAGTGTCATTCTGTTTATGCCTCTTCAGTAAACATTTCTTTGTGTTTTTCTTGGCAAATAGTTTTTTTCGTAATAGTTTTCTCAACGTGTCATAATAATCCACCTCACGTCCTACACTGCTTTTTCTTTTATAACCAAGTTATGTAAAACAAAAACCATGAATCTAGTGCTTTATGATTAATTAATTAGTGTGAGAATACTTGTTGTAATTTTATGTGTTTATCATCAGAGAAGGTAATGGTTGGTTGTGCTAGTTTAAAGAATAAAAGCCTTGGGAATAAATGAAGATAGGTTTTCTCACTCCACAGTGTTTTTTAATTAACACTAGAACACGTGAAAACAATAATTTTCATTTATTTCACAATCAAGATCACATGTTTTAGTCTTCATTTCTTCATATTTCCTGTATTATATGAAGTTTTGTTGTCGGTGTTATTTAAATTGTATGAATAAGCTGTGTTGGCTACAGCAGGTAATTCCTAAGGGTTTGTATGAAGTTTGGATTAAATCGTTTAGTAGTTTCACCCTTAAAAGATTGAAGAAAAATTCCCTTTTGTTTATTTGTCAACCCTGATTTCAGGGTGTGTGTGTCCTTGTGTCCACATACATACATATATATGATGTCCATATATGTATCTTTGTATCTTTACATTATCCATTTCTTATTGTGTTGTTAAGTGGTGCTTGGATCACTAGCTTGACACTGGATGAAAGAGAGAAATTTGCATTTAATATTTAGTTACTTATTTTTATCAAACTTAAAATGCAAGTCTGTTAGTATAAGTTTGTTATATTTCTTTTGGAATGTTTTTGAGCAAACAGAATAAAATTCATAAGAATATTACCTAATACCTATGATTTTATAAGCTTAAGCTCAATTTTATTTGCATTTAAAATATAACACCTGTTTTGTTTTTATAGTGGCTCAAGCATGTTGACGATCAAGGTAGACAGTATTACTACAGTGCAGATGGATCTCGCTCAGAGTGGGAGTTGCCAAAGGTAATAAACCTTAACACTGAGTTTCTGTGTAAAAATAGTGGATGAAGTAAATAATACCTGAAAATGGTTACAACAGGTTTATTTTTAAATTTTTATTCAGCTCTTAAAAAGCAGCAAGACTAGTTTTTCCATATTTCATTGAGAATCCTTTGTCTAAATTATTCTGTGACATACATTATCTTATAGCTATATAATATTGATAATCACTATTTAAAATTTCTTTTGATTCAGTTTTTCATTGTTCTGGATCCAAGATCCCCTTTAAGTGGCAGTAATGGAAAGAGTTCTCTTAAATTTGTTGAGTTTTCTGCATGAAGTTGGTGTTAAACTTATATTTTTAAAAGAAGAAAAGCAACTCAGTATTCAAGTTTATTCTTGTATGTAGATGTGTATTATAGTTGAGTCAGTCATTAGCAGCATGTAGTAATGAGACCTTCCAGGGTCTCACTGGCTCTCTAAAGATAAATGCACAAGGGCTGAGTTTATCTAAAGCAGTAGGTTTCAAAATGGTTGTGTACTTAACCACCGTTAGTATTAAGATGTAAATATATATAAATATTAATGATACATGAGCAAACATTTAAATTTTAATTGGTACCTTACGTTAACATTTTAGAAAACACCTATAAGTAGCAGATGTATCTGTAGTGTCAATTATCAGACTTTAGTTTATAAAGAAATTTTTCTTTTTCCCAAAGTACGTCAATTTAAAGAAAAATATAACTAGTTTAGAGATACATGGATATAGAAAAAAAATCATTAAAAAATATAGTATAATGGATAGAATAAGCTATAGTCAGAGGGACAAGAAGATAACAAATACTAAAACATGGTTAAAGGAGATGGAAGATGGGTGGAAATTTTCCTGTGTTCACAAATGAGGAATTCTTGAAGAAGAAAATGGAAGAACTGGTAGAGAAATAGTATTTTGGAAATATAATTTCTTGGAATTTTCTGAAACTAAAGGAAGGCATGAGTCTTCAACTGGAGCCTTCAATACTGACCAGAACACAGGAAAAAAAAATACACATATTGACAAATTTTACTGAATCTGTGGAACTTCAGTAGAGGGAGACAATCTTAAAAGCCATCAAAGGGTAAAAAGGAAGATTACCTGTGGTGGCAGTTTGCATCATTTGATCCATTCCTCACTCACTCCCATATCAGTGCTTTTTGCTGTGTACCTTTGTAGTGACCTCTTGCTGTGGATGGGGACATATTGTTCTGCTGTTACCATGACTGAATCTAGTCTAGACATGTGACTTGCTTCCACTGATGGGATGTGAGCAAATGTGTCATAAGCATGGTATTGTAAAGGGCTTGTACATCAGGGCTTGCTTTTCCACCTCTGCCTCTGCTGTGAGTGGAATGTATGGTCCTAGGTAGAGTAAATAAATAAATTTTAAGAAAATGAACAGAGTCTCAGAGATCTGTGGGACCATACAAAAGACCTAACATTCATTTCTTGAGAATTCCAGGAGTGAAGAAAGAGTGTGAGCCTGAAAAATATTTGCAGAAACAGTGTTTGAAAACATCTCAGATTTGATAAAAGACAAACCACCAGATTCAAGAAGCTGAGTAAATACCAAACAGTATGGACTCAAAGAAATCCACATCCAGACACATTGTAATCAAATTTCTGAAAACTAAAGACTTCCCTTTCCCCCCCTTCAAGAAATATCTTGAAAGCAGCTCAGTGAAACAGCACAGTACTTTGTGGGGTAATAATGATTTGAATAGCAGAGGATGTCTTATTAGAAACCATGAAGCCAGAAGGAAGTGGTGTAATACTTTACAAATGCACAGAGAAAAAACTCATGATTATATATCCAACAAAAATATCCTTCAGTCATGAAAGTAAAATAAAGACATTTTCAGATGAAAGTAAACCCAGAGATTTATTACCAACAGTCTTGTTCTCAAAGAATTGCTGTAAGAAATCCTTAAAACAGAAGAGAAATAAATGAAGCAAACTTGGAACATTAAAAATGAACAGAGTATAATGGGAAGGGTGAATATCAGAAGAGACATTTGTCTTGAGTTTTAAGGGGATATAAGAAGATATTCTATGCAAATGGAAATCAAAAGAAAGCTGCAATAACAGTATTCATATCAGACAAAATAGGCTTTAAAATAAAGACAGTTACGAGAGACAAAGGATACTACGTAAAGATCAAAGGATCAATCCAAGAAAAAGATATAACAATCGTAAATATATACATACCCAGCATAGGAATATCTCAATAAATAAGGCAAATGTGAACAGCCATAAAAGGAGAAATCACCAGTAACATAACAGTAGTGGGGGACTTTAATATCCCACTTTGATCAACGGACAGATCATCCAGACAAAAAATGAATAAGAAAACATAGGCTTTAAATGACACCTTACACTAGATGGACTTAATCGATATTTATAGAGCATTCCATCCAAAAGCAGCAGAGTACACATTCTTCTCAAATGCACATGGAACATTCTCCAGGATTGATCACATGCTAGGCCACAAAGCGTGCCTCAGTAAATGCAAGAAAATTGAAATCATGTCAGGCATCTTTTCCAGTCACAGTGTTTTGAGATTAGGAATCAACTGCAAGGAAAAAAACTGTAAAAAACACAAACATGTGGAGACTAAACTATATGCTACGAGACAACCAATTGATCACTTAGGAAATCAAAGAGGAAATCAAAAAAATTATGTTTGATCTTTAAAAAAATTAGAACATTTCTGAAGGTGGAGATGTTATCTAGGACAACTATATTGTGAAGAGGGGAGAGTAGTGTGACATAATTGTTGGTAAGGTTTCTACGTTTCACTTGAAATCGTAAAATGCTGATATTGATAGACTGTGAGGAATTAAATACATAATTTGTAATACCTAGAGTAAGCACTTGGAGAAGGAAGTGGCAGCCCACTCCAGTGTTCTTGTCTGGAGAATCCCAGGGTTGGGGGAGCCTGGTGGACTGATGTCTATGGTGTCGCACAGAGCTGGACACGACTGAAGTGACTTAGCAGTGGCAGAGTAAGCACTAAAAAACTGTAATGTGAAAGAGACTCAAAGAGCTATAGATAAATTAAACTACGTTAGTAAAAACTCAAGATAGTCCATAGGAAAGCAGGAAAGGAGAAACAGGCATGATAAACAGAATATAAAACAAAGCAGCAGACTTAAATCCTAACATATAAATAAATTACATTAAATGTAAATGGTTTAAACACAGCTATTGAATATTTTTGGAAATGATTAAAAACCATGACCCGATTATATGTTTCTACAGAAAGATCACTTCAAATGTAATGATATATTACTTCATGCTGAGGATTACTCATCATATAGTTTATAGTAAATCTCATACTTCATGATGCCGTTGCAGAAACTTTGCCATTAAAATTAGGTCTTAGACTATAACTTTCCTGTCAGTGCTTCTATTCAACAATTAAAAAAAAAGAATTCACAGATGCAGTTGTTCCTTTTATTATTAGAAAATCAGGAGATTTGGCAAACTCAGAACTGTTAATAGTTCAGTAAGTTTGCTGGACATAAAATCAACCTAAAAACTACCCAATTTTCTAGTAAAAAGTTAATTTGAAAATAGGATAGGAATAAAGTTATTTTTTATATTAGCAACAGCAGCAACAATGCCAAGAAGAATCCTAAGATTATACCTTTAGAAAGTTTGTAAGATCTTAAGAAAATTTCAGAGCAGAATTGAAGGACATAAAAGATGACCTGAAATGATGTGATATGCCATTATGATCTTGGGTTGGGATGCTTAACATTGTAACAGTGTCCCCATTGATCTGTAAATTCACTGCATTTCCATTTACTATTCCTGTCTCCACCTTTTTTGTTTTTTTGAATTGATGCTAAATTTTACTTGCCAGCAAAGGTCTGTGAAGAACCAAAATATTCCTGAGTAGGGAGAATGTCTACTCAAGAATAGGAGAGGGCTGAGGTTCCTGCTCTAGTGATTAAGTTGTGGGCACATGTGCATAGGAATAGACCAACAGAACAGAATAGGAACCTCAGATGTAGCATCACGAATCCCTGGGTAAAGCATAGACTGTACAATAAATATTCTGAAGATTATTGGTTATTCCCAGGGGGGAGGAAATGAAATAAACATAGATCTTGACATCTCACCTAATGATTAATTCCAGGTAGATGACAGCTGTAAATGTAATAAGCAAAACTTTAAAGGCTATAGAATGCGGGATCATCCGAGAATGTCTTTGACTTCAGAGTAGGAAGCATTTTTTCAACAAGACTGTGTAAGGAAAAACTATAAAGGAAAAGATGGGCAGATGTGACTACATACAATCCAGCAGAACACTTTTTAATATTAAAGATACCATACACAAAGGGGAAGAAATGAGCTTTGGGCTCAGAAAAGCTACATTCAATTCGCAAAGCCTACAAAACCAAAATGTATAAAGAACTTGCTGGTTCTTTATGTACACACTAGTGAGAGAGAGAACCTAATTGAAAATAGGCAAAATATATGACTGTCAGGGGAGTGGGTAATTTCCTTGGTTCTGTCTCGTCACAACAAAACTTTGAAGCGACAGACCTTAAAGCCCTCGGTGTATCACAGCTCTTGTGCAGTGTTACAGCTCAGTTTTATTTAGAAAATAAATAAAGGAAAATACATCCTCGAGGCATGAGGGCATGCTGACCCAAGAGATGCAAAGAGGAGGGGGAGAGAGAGAGAGAGAAAGAAAGAGAGACAGTGCATGCAGAGGAGAGAGACACCCTGGGCCCTTTGGCTCCTCTTTTTGTATGTTTTTTTCCTCCCCCTGGGCCTGCCCTATGTAAATTGGGCTAGCCAGGAGTACTGTTTGTTCTACCTGAGGTCCTCACTCTGGTCCTCGGACCTTCCTTTGTTCTATTTTCGAGGGCTTTTCCCTTCCTTGTCTTTTAGCCATCGCCATTCTGGACTCCTTTTTCCTATTCTAACTACTTAACATGACTAAGCCATATGGAGGAAAGGAAATTCATGAAATAAGTATTTGAAAAGAATTTCCAAGTCACCAGGAAAATGAAAGCAGTGAAGTAACATTATACTTACGTATATACATTTATTTTCTATACACAAATGTGTATAAATTCAACAGTATCAAGTATGGCAGTAGAGAGCATTATGTTCTGCTGGTTGGAGTGCTGTTAGTACCCCACCTTGGGGATGTCCACCTGAAACAGCAGGTTAAATTATATTTAGTGCTGTCTATGAAACTGCTGGAGAAGGAAATGGCAACCCACTCCAGTATTCTTGCCTGGAGAATCCCGTGGACGGAGGAGCCTGGTGGGCTACAGTCCATGGGTCGCAGAGTGACACGACTGAGCGACTTCACTTCACTTTCACTATGAAACTGCTAGGTGGCGTTTCGCTGGGCTCCAGAGAGCTCTGGTCCTTTGTATCTCAGCGCAAAAAGAATTCAGCAGAGGTAAAGTAATAGATAAGATGTGATTATTAGAATAGGACAGTTGTGGGGCTTACAAGTGGGTGGGTGAGAGAGTGGCAAGTGCTGAGAGCTTATTGGGTTGCAGTTTTATAATCAAAGGAAAAGTAGGGAAGGGCAAAAGACCATTTTTCTCATTCTTGAGTAGACATCACGCTTTCATCATCAGCTCCTCCTCCAGGTTGGGCAGGAGAGTTTTCTTGTCCCTGCCTGGTCAAGCCAGCCACTATGGAAAAATTATTTCAGGTCTCAGTACAATGAGGGTCTTTCACTTTGAAGTGTCACCTTTCCATAAATTACTATTTTCTTTATGCATGCAGAGAGCATGTCCCTAGGTATCATTAACTTACTGAGTTCTCTGGGCAGGATGTGGGTCTCATGCCACCATTGTTTTATTGTTTGGGGGGCATGTCTCATGCTTTGTTTGCATGGGTTTTGCTGCTAAGCACGCCTTCTTGATTTTGTGGTTAAGCAAGCTTGCTTTCTTCAGGGATCATTAACATATTGTGGTCTCCCAAAGCCCCCTAAAGTTCCTCCCTATCTAAGTCCTCAAATGGTATTTCTGAGCTATTTGATTATCCTACTCTACCCCTATCATCCACATATAAGGTAGTATTATGAGGAAGTGAAATATAAATGAGTTTGAGCTGAAAACTCACCATCATGGATGTAGTTTTTTTAAATTGTTTTTTAATAAAAACATTATTGAATGCAAAAACAAATTGAAGATTGATATGTGTGATATGATTCCATTTATATAAAATTTAAAAGCCCACAGGTAATATGTAGTTATAGATACATACATATGTACTGAAGTGTAAAGTTCTGAGAATGGTGAGCACTGAGTTACATGGTACTGCCAGGCAGGGGTTAATGTGTGTGTGAGTCGCTCAGTCGTGTCCAGTACTCTGCCACCTTATGGACTGTAGCCTGTCAGGCTCCTCTGTTCGTGGAATTCTCCAGGTAGAAATACTGGAGTGGGTTGCTATTTCCTTCTGCAGGGCATCTTCCAGACCCCGGAATCCATCCAAGGTGTCCCGTGTTGCAAGGCAGATTCTTTACTGCCTGAGCCACAAGGGAAGCCCTTGCTGGGGAGGGGAGGAGGAATGGAATCTAAAAGATGTGCTCAGAGAACCCTCATATTTTATTTCTTTAGAAGTCAGGAAGTTATCTGTCTTAGGTATGTTGGAGCTCAGTGGTGGGTTTTTACTATAGTTGCTATTCTTTTGTATGTTTGAAATTATTCAAATAAAAATGCAATTAAAATTCTTAAAAGAGGTGTTTTTAAGAAGTTTTTTTTAATGTTAAGTTTTAGCCATCTTGTTCAACTAGATTGTGTTTGTGTGTGTGTATTTTAACTATGGTGTCTTCTTATTTTTCTTTTCTGTAATTACGTGACACTTTATTTTTGTCTTCTGTCTACATTAGATTTTATATCACATTTTATTTATGCTTTATTTGCTTTTATGAATATACTGTTGCTGAGTAAAACTGTCAACACCTTTAAAATGGTGATTATTACCCAGTTTAATTTTACATTATTTTTGTTGCCCTGAGAAAAGGATTTCTAAACCGTTGTGGTAATTATAAAGTTCAAAAGCTAGGGTAAATATCCATTAAAGTTCAACACAAGCTTACACACAATTGCACATTTTAGTTGTTCCTAATAGTGATTGTATTGAAGTGATAGTACAACTCTACTGGGTCTCTGCACTTAAGAAATTTATTTCACAGAATTTTTTGCAGGGGGAAGCCTTTAATCTTCATCTTTGTTCATTCTATAAATGATCCTTTTGTGAACTTGTGTGACAAATTTTAAGATTGCTGTTTGTTAGGCAACAGTGGGTGAAAAACATACACCCATGTGACTGCCTGGCTTTGGCAAATTCTGATGTGAAAAATGAAGTAACAGCTTTGGGAAACAGTTTGGAGGGCTGTATGGACTCATTTTGGAAAGTGAAGAAATGACATACTGTGGACAAAGATGTTGGAAGGTTTTTAAAAATAATATAAAGAGTATAAATAATGTATTATTGAAATTTAATAATAAGATAAAAATTTAACTTCACTGAAAATACAATGAGTCATTAAAATTTAAGACTTAGTGGGGTTTTTTTGAGAAGTAGGTATTAGGAATACTTTGGTTTCAGGAGAAGAATATCCCTTAAAAATAGATGAATTTTCTTTTGTCATTTTATTATAATTTATTTATAATATATTAAAACTGCCTGTATGAAGCAGCATAACTCTTAAACCTCACATTTCTCAAATGTTTATGCCTGGTGGTCTACTTGACATTTCAAACATTGCAAGACTTGGTATCTTATTAATAATGTGTTCTTAATTTTATATGTAATTTTGTTTGGCAGTTACTACTATCCTTTGTGAGGGGGGCATGACACCCCACTGCAGCAGAGAATCCCCATGGACTGAGGAGCCTGGTGGGCTTCAGTCCGTGGGGTCGCCAAGTGTGGGACGCAGCTGAGCCTCTAAGCACAGCACTTATCCTTTGTACACAACTGATATGTTCACGATTGGTGTCTGAACTAGTATGGGCACTGCTGTTTGACTTGGTTACATTTTACCACTTCAGAGAAATAAATAGTAGTGTGCTTGGCCTATGAATGGAAAGTAAAAACAAAAAGCCTTTTAAATGTGAATATACTGTTGCGTATGAAAGCATCATTTTAAAAACATTTAAAAACATAAGCCAATAACTGAATTCATGTGGATTTTCAAAGTAGAAGGAACTTTAAAAAATTAATTGGTCTGATGACCTCATGTTACAAATCATAATAACTAATATTTATTGAGACCCTATCAGCACAACATTTGGCACTTTTTATATGCTATTTATCCCCCTATTTCTGTTGTATCTGTTTTACAGTGAGTACAGTTTAGACTTGGGGGATATTAAGTGTTTTGCCAAAAATAACATGAGCTGGGTCTCTCCAACACCCAAGTGTGTGAACTTGTGCCAAGTGCTGGTCAAAGATGAGTGAACTCCCACTAGTGTCACATGGCGAGCTTTGCCTGATGCCACGTGTCACTTGGAGCCAGCATGTTTAGATTCCACTTCTGTTTCTATTATTTATGAGGTGTAATTTGTCTTCTTTAGTACAATGCTTCGTCTCAGCAGCAAAGAGAAATTATTAAAAGTAGGAGTCTGGACAGGCGGCTGCAAGAACCAATAGTATTGTCAAAGTGGAGACATAGCACCATTGTGCTGGATGCCAATGACAAGGTAGGACTTTCTGGGAAAATAAATCTGTTGAGAACTCGGGCAAGTTCTTTATGCTTTATTTTCTTCTTTGTTGAGTCTCATACCTTGGTGGTGACTGTTTTATTGCATGCCATATCTGTTTGTCCCAGAGTGGGAATTGGTTTTGAAGTTTTCTGGTTTTTGACCTATGGAGTAATGATGTATGTATACATGGTACATTTGGGCCTGGTGGGTGATAGGTTTTTTTCATAATCCCATTTAATCACAAATCATTATTGTTTGTCTTCAGTTTCTAAGAGATTTAATGGTAAAGACATTTAATTACCTTTCCCATCCCAGGGAACGTTGAAAGCCTGCTCCTCCTGTTTCCCTAACAGCTCTCTGTTCAAAGTGCTCCTGAGAAGTCATGTTCTCTGTTTGAACTAGGGAGTGGATTTTGATGCAAACAATGAGATTGGAAAAGTGGTAGAATTTTTAACTTCCTTGTGAGTTACATCTTTACCTTGTGACCTCAAGTCCGGTGATAGAATAGGAAATTACTACAGATTTGTAAACATCAAGACATACTGATGTTAAAGTGGTGGTAATGATGTGAGAGTGGCAGTAACACTCTAACATTGAAATACTTGTCACTGGGGACTCTGTTTCACCAAAGATTCTCTTTCGGCATAGTTAATAGGTTTCCTGCATTTGCAGGCATGTTAGTGAGAGCAGGAGGCCCTCTCCAGAGGCATATTTCTCTGTGTTTGGATACTTTCAGTCCTAAATTCATTTTTAAATTATCTCTATCAGTTGGTCAAACAAGTACTTCTAATTTCTATTTGTAAGGACATTAGGTGGTGGAATGTAGAGAGCATATTAAAGGAATGAAATTCTGGAGTCTGTACTATTGAAGGCTTGGAAATATATTAGCATTGAAGTTAACCTGTGTAGGTAAGAGTCCTGGAGATTTTATTAATAATAGAAAAATTCGTTTAACTATAAGAACCAGATTACACTTCAGTGTATACAAAAAACTCCTGTACTAAATGTGATGAACGCTCTAGTGCCTAAGCTATGGTTGAACCAACTCTATTCCATCATCCAGTGGACTCTAGAATAAAAAGGATGTTTATTTTGCTGATGTAGACTTAAAATTTCTTATCTCTTTATAATCTTTCATGAGATTCATTTTCAGTATATTATTAGAATAACATATGGGATTTTTATCTCATATCCTTTTTCATCTAATTGTTTCAGAATGTGATAATGTGATTTTCTTGAGACTAGAGCTTATTTTTGTAGAAATGGCTTTTTCCCCTCTACCTTTATAAATGGAATCACAGATAATTATTTCATCAGATAAACTCTTTTACTTATCATCGTCTTCTAGTATATATTTTTTAAGATTTAAAATTATAAAAGAGGGACTATACCAGAACAAGCTGGTGGACTCATACAAGGGGTAAAACCTGAATAACTTGAAAAGTAATCACAGAAACCAAATACTGTATAGCAAATGTTGTTAGAATGCTATAGGTCCTAATTCAGTTGCCAGACAACCTTGAAGGAGGTAGGTGAGGGTATGTAGTTACCACTCATTTTATTCAGTTACTTATTTTCTAGTTTATGGGTCATCAAATCTTTCCTGTTTTTCTCACACTGTTTTAATATTAGGCACTCTCTGAGAAGTCAAGAAATGGAAAAGCAAAACTTCTGAAGCTGTCGGAAAAAATTACTTAAATGAGGCTAAACTGACATTTGGACATTAAATGTAATTTCTTTTTATAAAGAAATATTTCACATGATTTTAATGTTTTCTCTATTTATATGTAGGCCTTGGATGTTTGCTTTTAAGGTTGTCCCTTCAAGAATTTTTCCTGTAAAATTTCCCTGCTGCTTAGTTTCTGTATTTATAAATTGTATAGGTTATGAACCTGAAGACTTTTTTCCAAGTAAATGGATGTTAAATTAACGGTTTTGTATTGTGATTTAATAAAAATTCCCAGGCTCGTCACCAGTTTTTATCCAGTTTCCTAAGTATAGAAAAGTAGATGATACAGATGTGAAGATGAATGTCCAGAGAAATTATCTGGCTTTATAGGAAAGTTAATAATAGATGTTGGCATATGATTACCCTAATTCTCTTTTCCTGAAATTATTCAAAGCTTCTAGGAGAACAGAACATTTAAATGGAACTTGGCTGTTGGTACCAATAAAATGATTCTTTGGTCTTATCCTCCATGAATAGTGTTACAAATACCTGAGGTAGAAGTCACACACCATTCTAATATTGACAAAGCAGAATTTCTTTGAAAATGCACATTATTGGCTTGCTTCTATTATATTCTTGTAGACTTAGACTTTAAAATATTCCCTTTTTTTTTCTGGTGAGTTGTTAATCTGTAAATCTGAGGTTTTTTTCTTTGCATACTAAAAAAATTCTTTGTTTCTAATAACTGAGGTTAGCTATAAATTATATTAAATATTAATAGCAATTTAGTTAAATACAAGTTCTTATTCTGGCAGTTGCCAAGTAGTTCCTGTGAGTGTTCTGTGCCGAATCCTACCAGAATTCACACCAAGAGCAAATTAATATGTTGACTGTTAACATTTTTATCCACAAGTGTGCAGATTTTGCTTATTTTAAATATGGTTAATTTAAACTGATGCAGCATCATGATTTTAAGGCAGCATGCCTCATTTCTTTTGAGTAATCCTTTATATTATATGTAAGTTTATAATAATTGGTACAAGATATGCCATATTTTATAAACTTTATGACATCTCTAGTTTTCACATCTGTACCATATTACTTTCATAGCTGAATATAGAAGGAAAGTAGGAAAAAATTTTTCTCAACCTCCCTTATTAAGTTCTCCCTTTATGAGTAGAGGGAGAAATACAATTATATGAAATAGAGTAACATTTTTCATTACTTATTTTTTGTAGGAATCTCCATCTGCCTCAAAACCCTGCTATCCTGAACATGAGTCTTCTCCCTCTTCACCAAAGCACCAAGATACAGTTAGTATGATAGCAGCAAGTAGAAAATATAGTCCAATTATTTCAATCAGTTTCAGCAAATTAATTTTCTCTTAAGTGTAATGTTTAAATATCTCTTGGGCTTCTATCAAATTTCATTGGTCTCTCAAAAAATAATCAGATAATAGGTTTAAATTAAAAATCAGATTTTATTGATTTAAAAATTCCCCTCTTTGTGCAAAATATGGTACCTTCGTGATCAACTTGTATACCATATTTATAAGGGATGAATTTATGTTTGGCTTCTGAACATAAATGTTAAAGTCCCTGAAGAATACTATCAAGTTTACACATTACCCTTTCTTCCTCAGGCCAGCAGTCCAAAGGTAAGAAGCACCCTCCTCCTTATTAACGAGCTTAGATGCCCTTTTCCCCTCTAAACTGTCAGATGCATCACCCAGCCTATGCCAGGTGATATTGGCAGTACCTAACTCAACTTCAGGTTTCTCCTAAGCTTGGAAAACTGCAAGTGACTTCTCTTCAGTCTTAATGTTGGAGAAATTCTACTTGACCTCAATGTTTGTAGGACCCCCCCTCCCCCCAAGTCTTCCTGTAATTTGCTGTTCCTCCTCTTCCCTTTCAGTGCCTCCGTTTCCTTTCAGAAAGGGGGACTAAACTTCGTGTTGAGGTCTGTGAGACTGTGCCTGTCCTGGGCCCTCAGCCCCACTTACTTGTTCTCACTGCCCTCTGACTCTTTCTAGGGTCTTCATGTACTGAAACCTGTGTCCCTCACATCTTTGTCCAGTCAACTTCTAGGTCATTCCTTAGAGCTCAGTTCAGACTCAGAGTTTTATTCTAATCCTCTAGATTTGGTCAGATTTCCCTGTAGTGGGTTTCCCTCGTGGCTCAATAAAGAATCTGCCTGTAATGCAGGAGACCTGGGTTCAATCCCTGGGTCGGGAAGATCTCCTGGAGAAGGGAATGGCTACCCACTCCAGTATTCTTGCCTGGGAAGAGGAGCCTGGCGGGCAACAGTCCATGGAGTCGCAAAAAGTCAGACCCGACTGAGCGACTATAATTTTCACTTTCATACTTTCCCTGTAGTCCTCTTCATAGCATTTAAGTATATGTTATTTGATTCCACAAAGTAGAGCAACGCTTTTCATTTCTTATTTCTTGTAGGAGCTTCCAACCCTTAGTTACTGTCTTCCCCACTAGACAAAGGAAAGCTTCCTTAGAGCAGAACCAGAGTACTCAGTGCTGTAGAGTTTTGCTATTCCAGGGAGTTTTGCTGAATAAACAAATGAAATTTGTAAACTTTTTTTAAAAAAACAAACTTTTATTGTTATTTCCTTAATTTTAAGGAATGAACTTTATTAGGATACTTCTAATTTCCCAAGAGCACAGATTTTCACAGATGGTGCTTTCCTTTTACAGGCTCTTCCTCCCTTCCCTGCGCAAGTCTGGTCTTTCGATTCATCTAACATGTTGTCCACCTGTCCTTCTGATGTTGCTCAGAGGGTTTCATTGCCTACCCTGCTCCTTGGCTTCTCTGCACCTACAGTTAATCCTGAGCTGATTTGTAGGAGGACTCTGTAGGTCCTGCCCCCACTAACCTCAGCGTAACAATATATCTTCTTTTTCTCTGAGCTCCAAGTCATTGACAGCATCTGTGGAGTGAAAGTTACCTTGTGTTCCCCCATCTCCCTGCTGAGAGTTTAAACTGCAAAGGGACTCATAGGGGCTGCTTTCTCCTTTTTTCTTTTATATTATTTAATACAGTCCTGGGTACATAAACATCAAATAAAGATAAAAGTGAATGTGATTTTAGTGGTTTTGTCAAGAATTATTGTATGAACCTAAAGTACTGTTACTACAGTACGCTTAATTTGTCCATCTATCTAGAAAAAGAAGGAAACTTTTTTAAACTTACTTTAGGTATGGGTAATATATAACTTCTAAGAAGACCTTTTATAAATTATTTATATTTTGGTAAAAGGGAATTTCTAGGCAACCCTACAAATATGAGTTTATAAATGTCCCACGTAGGTTACAAAGGACTGTTTGCAGATTACTCCCCCAGGCAGTTATCCTGTCTCAAGGGTTTGCCAGCACCCTGACTGTCCTGGACTCAGGGTCCCCTCTGATGGCCGTGGCAGGGAACTACCTCACCAGGATTCTGTTTCATTCTTTTATTTTCTTGCAGGTGGGGGGAAAAAAAAAGGGATAATTCTGTTAATTCTGCCTGAGGCTATTCTGTTTTCTCATAAGTGCAGAGTGTCCTTCCCCCATCCCACAGTTCAGCTCCCCGCCCCCAGAGGCTTCTGTCCCCTGAATGTCCTCCTCCTCCCTCAGCCTCTGCTTCCTGTCCGCCACTTGCCCTGTTTGGACTGAGTCTTTTGCCTGTCTTTCCCACTCTTACCCAATTAATATGAGCAAATATTTTCTTAGTTCTTTGAGTTAAAATCTGGTTGGCATAAAAAAGCCTTAGTGGTAAGAAAAAGGAAGCTACAAATGTAGAAATGAAACTGACACTATAATCAGTATTAGTTACCCGATACCATCTTTAAATCTCTGCAAATTGCCCAGCTACCTCTCAGATCTCTTTTTTTTAAGAATTAAAACTGTATTGAAATATAACTAACATACTGTACTATTCACCCATTTAAACTGTACACTTTGGTGGTGGTTAGTATTAATGCGAATGTTGTTACCCTCATTTTAGAATATCTTCATCATGTCGAAAAGAAGCACTCATCTGTCATGACCCCCTCTGCCTCCACACCCATCAAGCCCTAAGCAGCCAGTAATTACTTTCTATCTCACTGGATTTGCCTGTTCTGGTCCTTTTGTATGAGTAGAATCATATAATATATGGTCTTTTTTCACAAGCTTTGTTCACTTGCATATGATGTCTTCATTCAGTCTCTTCTAATCAAAGCAGATTAAAATTTCATCCCTTAATACAGATTTTAAACATGTTCATTTTTTTTCTTGTTTTCTCTCCAGTTTTCAAATACATTATTTTTCATAGACACTTGAAGTCCTTTTTAGAAATTAGTGTATACATCTTTTAAAAAATTGATAATGTTTCTCTACAGTATGACTAGAGCATGGATTCGATAGGATTTTGTAGGCTAATCTAAGGACCTAATCTCTATTTGTCCCAATGTGCCTATGAGAATATGCAGTTTAAAGTTTTCAGTTACTGAATAGTGAATACAATTTTAAATATATAATTTGGAAACTTGAGCTTTGACCTTATGTTTTCAAATAATGGTATTAAAGTGCTTTACCCACTTTGGAGCAAAGGACATTTCAACACGTTCTTTAACAAGAGTGTTTAGTGGACAGATTGTCTAGTTTTTTTCCATTGAACATGATTTAGACATTAATTTTTTTTAAATAAAACTGGTTCTTTAAACATTTTTTTAATCGAGGTGAAACTCACTAAACATAAAATTAGTCATTAACTATTTTAAAGTTTGTAATTCAGTGGCTTTAGTGTATTTACAATATGCTCCTAGTTTTAGGACGCTTTCATCAGGAGATCCCTACCCATCAAGCAGTCACTGTACATTTCCCCGCCCCTTCTCCCCTCCCCCCGGTAAGCTCTAGTTTGAAGATCTGTATGAATTTACCTGTCCTGGAAGTTTCATCACAGTGATTCTTTTTCGACATTATATTCTTCCTCTGTGTAGAAAGGATCTTTTTATTATGTTATTATAAGATGATTAACTGAAGATAAAGGTTTTATTGGGAGGTATTGATTTTGATATTAACACTTATTACCCAAAATTGGGAAATGCTTACTTTACTAAATGAATGCAAAAATTAGTTAGAAATTCTGGAACCTGCAAAGTGGTTACAAACCTGTGGAAGTTTTCCCAGATTACTCAATGGAACAAATATTTTATTGTTTTCTTGCCTTATTAGGATAAGAAAATCTTATTACAGTCTTTTTAGTTCAACCTTAACCAATTTTGCTAGTTTTTATTAAAACATTCTTGCTTATTTTCAACTTGAAATTTCCTTTGGAGTATCAGCATATTCAGACTAAGAAATATTCATGTGTTGAGTGTGGACAGTTTTTAGAGGACTTATCGAAGTTTTTATGAAGTTATTTTAGTAAGCTACACAAAAACATTGATGGACTTTGATCCTAAGTGGAGAAAAATACACCAAATAGTATGAAGTAAAAATCTGTCTGAATTCCTTCCCCCAAAGCTCACACCTAAATAGTCAAACCTGTATCTTCCTGCTCATCACTTTTATGTCAGATGTAGAACTTCAGTGTTTAAGAGCTAAAGCTTTATTTTCTCCATCACTGACCTCCTCTTATATTTCGTTTTTCAATGCCTTCTTTTATTTATTTATTTTTTGGCTGTACCACACAGCATGCAGGATCTTAACTTCCTGACCAGGGGTCAGACCCACACCCCCTGCAGTGGAAGAGGGGAATTACTTTTTTGTTTTTGGCTGCACTGGGTCTTTGTTGCTCTGCACAGGCTTTCTCTAGTTGCGGTGCACCAGCTTCCCATTGTGGTGGCTTCTCTCGTTTCGGAGCACAGGCTCTAGGTGTACTGGCTCCTACCGTTGCGGCATGTGGGATCTGCATTTTGGCATGTGGAATCTTTCATGATTGCTCTGTGGCACTTGGGGGTCTTCCTGGAACAGGAATCTAACCTGTGTGCCCTGCGTTGGCAGGCGAATTCTTAACCACTGGACTCAGGGAAGTCCCTCTCTTACATTTCTTAGTAGTGTGATAGCACAGCTACTTTGTTGGTTAATTACTGACCTTCCATCACTGACCTTCTCTTATATTTGTTTTCTTAATGCCCTCTTTTATTTAATTTTATTTTATTTTTTGGCCACAGCGCATAGCTACTTTGTGGGTTAATTACTTCAGTAAATACATATTGAGCCCCAGGTTCCTGCTGGCCACTGTGCTGGGCGCTGTCATACAGCGATGAGCACAGCAGATCTAGTCCCAGCGTACAGCATGATAGAGGGTGAGTAAATTATATGTAATAGTGCTTTGCAGTAAGTGCCACACAGTAGGCGAACTAGGGGCCGTAGTCATAGGTTGGAAGTGGAGGAGTTCCTACTTGAGGGGTTGGGAGGACTCCTCTAGAGAGTGCCTGGTGGTCCGGTGGTTAAGACCCCATGCATCCAATGCAGGAGGGACGGATTCAGTCCTTGGTCGGGGAATTAAAATCCCACATGCTGCTTGTCGCTGCCAAAAAAGTGAAAAAAATACCAAAAAACAAAGAGTGTTCTTGCCGCTGAGGGACTCCCCCCTACCCAGCTGCTCAGGCTTGGGAGATTCCCAGCTCTTCCCTCTTCCTATCCCTGTCAACTCTGTCTTCTGACTCACTCTCATATTTGACCCCTCTTCACTCCCTCACTGGAGAAGGGAATGGCAGCCCGCTCCAGTATTCTTGCCTGGAGAATTCCATGGACAGAGGAGCCTGATGGGCTACAGTCCATGGGGTCGCAGAGAGTCAGACAGGACTGAGCGACTAACTTTCACTCGCTCACAGCTACTGCCCTGGTCCAGGCCTGCAGCATCCTTACGGTGGTAACTAGGAGTGTTCCGCTTGAGTCCGTTATCACCTGCCTCTCCTTCATTCTCCCCACTGCCTTTGTTTCCTGCTACTTCTCCACCTCAGTACTTTGAGGGAACTTAAGGCTCTTGCAGCTGACACTCCTTCGGCCTCTGTGCGCTCACCCGTCTGTCATCCCCACCCCGTGTTTCCCTCCGGCTCCTCCTGGTCCTCAGTCTCTAGGAAGCGGCCCTGACGCCCTTCCTTCCTCACAGGTGGAGTTAGGTCTGCCTTTCTCACTGCACTTCTCATTGCTGTGGTCATTGCTTTGCACCTGTACGCTTTGAATGTGGCAGATTTTGTTCTTAGGTTCACGTTGGAGTGCTTGCTCCTTAGAGCGTTAGTGCTTGGGGCTTGGTCCCTGTGAGAATTTCCTGGGTACTCTGGGCCCTGCCCTTGAACGATGCCTGTACATGCATGGTTTTGTGCAATATTGGTCCATTCACAGCTCAGGTGAGAATCCCTGATCCAGAGTGTCTTTTCATCCCTCAGGCTCTGGCCATCTGTCACTGCTGCTATCCCTTCCATTTCTCTTCCCTTATTGATGCTGGCATTTCTGTCCTATCTCTGCTTTTTCTCCCACTCTGTCCCAGCTTTGGTGTTTTTAGTAGGCTTATTCCTGCTCCTGTGCTTACACAACCAGGGCCCTTCCTTTCAGATAAACGTTCCTTAGTTTCTGGATCATTGAAAGGTTTTTTCCCCCCCTTCTCTGCTTTTGATAGTAAATTGGGAATGTTCTTAATGTCCTGTGCATGTTTTAAACTGTGTAATTGATGTTTTTTATTGAGAGGCCACACAGAGTTCTTAACGAAAAGAATCAGACTTGCGTATCTAAGGCGAGCCAACCTTATGCTTTGTGAAAAAAATTGCAGTAGTTTGGATATTTCCCAAGTTCCCAGTTACCAAAAGTGAATAATAGAACAGTTTGTCAGCTTTGTCTATAGATTTGAGTTTTTCTTATTAGACCAGGCAAGCATTATCTTTTAGACATTAGTGAGAAAATATTCAATATTTATATCCTGTACAAGAAAAATTTGGTTGTTTTTCCTAATTAAAGTACATTGAGAACATAGCCGAGGTGTGAGTTAAATAGTTAGAAATAAATTCTGAATCGGGAGTCTTTTTCCCCTGTATGTGTATATTGTGTGTATGTTTTAGTTGAAATAAAATTGACTGCTTTGTCCTCTGCTTAACAGCGCTCACTAATGCTGATTATTGCTGTAGGCATTAACTCATTTTGATTAAATTGATTTGAATATAGACGGCTAGAGGAGTGAGAAGCACTTCTTCAGTCCCACCTGAAAGGATGTTAAGATAACATTTAACTTGAGCACAGCAGCTTTTGCCTTCCTAGGGTGTGATGGTGAAGCTGTGTAACTGGTTTTTACATCCGCTGACTAATAGATGTGGGTAGTCTAGAGCCCAGTTCACCATATGTTTAATGAAGCATGTAGTGAATTCTTTATGCCACATTAAGGCCAATTCTATGCAGAGTACCAGTTACTTTAAGTAATTTATTAAATACAGTCACTGCATTTGTTCCATCTGGTTATTTTTACATTCTGAAAAAGTGGGTATCTTAAATAATTTTCAGACTATACTGTTGTACAGTGACAGCAAAATAAATAATTTCCTTTCTGTGTTATTTATCCTTATAACATTGTATCCTTTGCTGTGAACAGAAAGTCATAAATCACTTTTCCAGTGCTGACTTGTAGCGTTCATATGGAAATCTAGTTTGACTTTACCTTATGACTGCTGTTACTTGAGAAGAACAAGTGCTTAATTATAAAAACAACTGAAAATAACTTCTTTAACTGAAAATAACTTTTCAGAAGTATTAGAAAATTGTATTTTTAACATATTGTACAACTAAAAACATATTACTACTAACTAATCTTTTCTTTTAAGCTAATATTAGAGTACCAGATCATTTTGATTCAGTTGTAGGTAAGAATTTAGACCTCATTGCCTATATGAATGATGTATAAACAGTAATACCTCTGTTCCATACCATAGGGTCAAGAGAAATATGGATTATTAAATGTAACAAAAATTACTGAAAATGGAAAAAAGGTTCGGTAAGTACACAAATCATTAATGATGTTTTATCTGACTGATATAAATAAAAACTGTATATAAATTATATTCTAGTAGAAGTGATTAACAGTTTCAAAGCAATTCAAATGTATTTTCTAATTTTATATATATATATATATATATATAAAATAGGAAGTGTAGCAAAAATTTTCTTTATCTTGACACGTTTCTTAGGGTGAGGTTAAATTCAGAGGTGATAAGGCAGGCGATTCTGAGCAACCATTAACTTTATTAAAAATTTTTTTCCAATAAGTAATAAATGCACATGGCAAAATACAAAGATACACAGAATAGTCAAAAGCCAGTCACCAGCCATCAGTTTTCCTTTCCCAGAGGCAACCAGTTAGGTCTAGTGAGATGTACTGTTTTCCTCCATAGAAAGAAAATAGATATATTTATATATGCATAGATTACTTTTAACAGTCTTTTAACAGTTTATCTTGGAGATGGTTCTGTTTCATTGCATGTACAATTGGTACATTGTTTTTAACTGCTGCATGTTGATGTTTAGTTGCTCAGTTGTGTCTGACTCTTTTGCAACCCTGTGGACTGTAGCCTGCCAGGCTCCTCTGTCCGTGGATTTGTCAGGCAAGAATACTGGATTGGGTTGCCTATTTTTCCTTCAGGGGCTCTTCCCGCCCCACGGATGGAACTCCTGCGTTGGCAGGCAGATTCTTTGTTTCCCCGGAGCCACCTGGAAAGCCCATAGTTATATATTATGTGGCTGTATCATAGTTTATTTAATTGTTATTTGCAAGTATATGCCGGTCTTTTGGTAAACATATAGGACTTTTACATCTCCCATCCAAGTACTAACCAGGCCCGACCCTGCTTAGCTTCCGAGATCAGATAAGATCAGGGGCGTTCAGGGCGGTATGGCTGTTGACAGGACTTTTACATCTTTTGCTATTAAAAACAGTATTATACTCAGTGTCTTGCACAGCTCATTTTGTATGTAGATATGCCTGTAGAATAAATTTTGTAGAAGTGGAGTTGCTAAGCCATATGCAGTGGTCATGTTGATACAATTTCAGATTATGCCTCAAGGTCCTCAGTCAGTCCCAATTCCAGGAGCCTGGGTTTTCTCTGCACCTTTGCCAGTTCAATATGTTGTCAGACTCTTTGATCTTTGCTACTGGAGATTAGAGAGAAATTGTATTTTTATTTGTGTTTCTTTTAGTGGGGTAGAGTGTCACAAACCATATGTATGTCTTTGTTGTTGGTGTTGAATTATCAGTTTATAGGCTGACTCTTTTTCTCTTGGGTTGTTGGTTTTTTAATTGATTAATTTGGCCGCACTGGGTCTCTGTTGCTGCGCAGGCTTTCTCTAGCCGCAGCCAGAGGGAACTGCTGTCTGGTTGCAGTGAGCAAGCTTCTCATGGCAATGGCTTCTCTAATTGTGGAGCGCAGGCTCAGTAGTTGTGGCACATGAGCTTAGTTGCTCTGCTGCTGTGGAATCTTCCCAGGCCAGGGATTGAACCTGTGTCCTCTGCATTGGGCAGGCAGATCTTTATCTATTGTACCACTGGGAAAGTCTGGGTTGTTAATTTTTTGGGTAAGAATTTAGGAAATTAGCTCTTTTTAAGTTACACTTTCTCCGATTAAAAAAAAAACTGTTGAAATGCTGTGGTTTTATAGCCAAAGTGTCAGTCTGTTTAACAAAGAGTTTAAAATTTACATGTTAAAAAAAAATGTAGTCAAGGTTTTTAGATTTGCTTTAATTGAACTGTCTTTGTCAGATTTTTGTACTTGGAAGTTTGTCTCTTCAGTACTCTGAAATAACTTTTACAAGTACTGCAGTTGTCTATTCCTTAAGCTGTTCCTTGGTGGAAGTCGGTGAATTGGATCTTTTTTCCTTTTGGAAATAAGTGGTGCAAGTAGGTCTTTGGCCACTTTCTCTGTTTGCGTTGTTGTCATTTTTCTCATAATAAGTCTTTTGGATTTTCTACTTCTTTTAGAATACTTTTTCCTAAGAGTACATCTATTTCATTATATTCAAATTTATTCACATTTTTTGTTTAGTCGTTCAGTTGTGTCTTGACTCTTTGTGACCCCATGGACTGCAGCACAGTCCATCACCAACTCCTGGAGCTTGCTCAGACTCCTGTCCATTGAGTCAGTGATGCCATCCAACCATCTCATCCTCTGTCGTCCCCTTCTCCTCCTGCCTTCAATCTTTCCCAGCGTTGGGGTCTTTTCTAAGGAGTCAGTTCTTCGCATCAGGTGGCCAAAGTATAAGAGTTTCAGCTTATAGTCCCCCCAATGAATATTCAGAACTGATTTCCTTTAGGACTGACTGGTTGGATCTCCTTGCAGTCCAAGGGACTCTCAAGAGTCTTCTCCAACACTGCAGTTCAAAAGCATCAATTCTTTGGTGCTCAGCTTTCTTTATAGTCCAACTCTCACATCTGTACATGACTCCTGGAAAAACCATAGCTTTGGCTAGATGAATCTTTGTCATCTAAGTAATGTCTCTGCTTTTTAATATGTTGTCTAGGTTGCTCATAGCTTTTCTTCCAAGGAGCAAATGTCTTTTAATTTCATGGCTGCAGTGACCATCTGCAGTGCTTTTGTAGCCCCCCAAATTAAAGTCTCTCACTGTTTCCATTGTTTCCCCATGTAATTGCCATGAAATGATGGGATTGGATGCCATGATCTTTGTTTTCTGAATATTGAGTTTTAAGCCAGCCTTTTCATTCCTCTTTTACTTTCATCAAGAGGTTCTTTAGTTCTTCTTTGCTTTCTGCCATAAAGGTTGTGTCATCGGCGTATTTGAGGTTATTGATATTTCTCCCAGCAATCTTGATTCCAGCTTGTGCTTCCTCCAGCTCAGCATTTCGCATGATGTACTCTGCATAGAAGTTAAATAAGCAGGGTGACAATATACAGCCTTGACGTACTCCTTTCCCAATTTGGAACCAGTCTGTTGTTCCATCTTTGATTTTAACTGTTGCTTCTTGACCTGCATACAGATTTCTCAGGAGGCAGGTCAGGTGGTCTGGTATTCCCATCTCTTGAAGAATCTTCCACAATTTATTGTGATCTACACAGTCAAAAGCTTTGGCATAATCAATAAAACAGAAGTGGATTTTTTTTTTTTCCTGGAAATCTCTTGCTTTTTCTATGATCCAGCGGATGTTGGCAATTTGGTCTCTGGTTCCTCTGCCTTTTCCAAATCCAACTTGAACATCTGGAAGTTCACGGTTCATGTACTGTTAAAGCCTGCCTTGGAGAATTTCGAGCATTACTTTGCTAGTGTGTGAGATGAGTGCAACTGTGTGGTAGTTGAACACTCTTTGGCATTGTATTTCTTTGGGATTGGAATGAAAACTGACCTTTTCCAGTCCTGTGGCCGCTGCTGAGTTTTCCAAATTGGCGAGTATATTGAGTGCAGCACTTTAACAGCATACTGTTTCTGTTCTTTATTGTTCCCATCTTTGCATGAAATGTTCCCTTGGTATCTCTAATTTTCTTGAAGAGATCTCCAGTCTTTCCCATTTTACTGTTTTCTCCCATTTCTTTGCATTGATCACTGAGGAAGGCTTTCTTATCTCTCTCTGCTATTCTTTGGAACTCTGCATTTAAATGCGTATGTTTTTCCTTTTATCCTTTGCCTATAGCTTCCTTTCTTTTCCCAGCTATTTGTAAGGCCTCCTCAGACAACCATTTTGCCTTTTTGCATTTTTTTTCTTAGAGATGGTTTTGATCCCTGCCTCCTGTATGGTGTCACGAACCTCCGTCCATAGTTCTTCAAGCACTCTGTCTATCAGATCTAATCTCTTGAATCTATTTGTCATTTCCATTGTATAATCGTAAGGCATTTGATTTAGGCCATATCTGAATGGTCTAGTGGTTTTCCCTACTTCAATTTAAGTCTGAATTTGGGAATAAGCAGTTCATGATCTGAGCCACAGTCAGTTCCCGGTCTTTTTTTTTGCTGACTGTATAGAGCTTCTCCATCTTTGGCTGCAAATATAATCAATCTGATTTCGGTATTGACCATCTGGTGATGTCCATGTGTAGAGTCTTCTCTTGTGTTGTTGGAGGAGGGTGTTTGCTACCAGTGCATTCTCTTGGCAAAACTCTGTTAGCCTTTGCCCTGCTTCATTTTGTACTCCAAGGCCAAATTTACCTGTTACTCCAGGTATCTCTTGACTTCCCACTTTTGCATTCCAGTCTACTATGATGAAAAGGGCATCTTTTTTTCAGAGTTAGTTCTAGAAGTTCTTGTAGGTCCTCATAGAACTGTTCAACTTAAGCTTCTTCAGCGTTACTGGTTGGGGCATAGACTCGGATTACTGTGATATTGAATTGTTTGCCTTGGAAAAGAACAGAGGTCATTCTGTCATTCTTGAAATTGCACCTTGGTACTGCATTTTGGACTCTTGTTGACTATGATGGCTACTCCATTTCTTCTAAGGAATTCTTACCCAGAGTAATAGATATAATGGTCATCTGAATTAAATTTGTCCATTCCAGTCCATTTTAGTTCACTGATTCCTAAAATGTCGATGTTCACTCTTGCCATCTCCTGTTTGATCACTTCTAATTTACCTTGATTCATGGACCTAATATTTCTGGTTCCTATGCAGTATTGTTCTTTACAGCTTCGGACTTTACTTCCATTACCAGTCACATCCAGAACTGGGCACTGTTTTTGCTTTGGCTCCATCTCTTATTCTTTCTGGAGTTATTTCTCCACTCTTCTCCAGTAGCATATTGGGCACCTGCTGACCTGGGAAATTCATCTTTCAGTGTTGTATCCTTTTTGCCTTTCCATACTGTTCATGGGGTTCTCAAGGCAAGAATACTGAAGTAGTTTGCCATTCCCTTCTCCAGTGGACCATGTTTTGTCCGAATTCTCCACCATGACCCTTCTGTCTTGGGTGGCCCTATACGGCATGGCTCATAGTTTCATTGAGTTAGACAAGGCTGTGGTCCATTTGGTCAGTTTGGTTAGTTTTCTGTGACTGTGGTTTTCATTCTGTCTGCCCTCTGATGGATAAGGAGCAGAGGCTTATGGAAACTTCCTTTTGGGAGAGACTGACTTTTTCATACTGAGTTATGTTAAAATCCATGGGTCTGTGATGCATTTTGCATAATCTTTTACCTGTGCATAATTTTGTAGCATCTTATAGGTCATCTGGAAAATACCAGTTTATGAAGGTTGCTGATTTTTCAAATGCTGGCACATTTTATTTTATGATATCAAAGAATCACAAATCAGTATTGTCATTGTCAAAGTCACTAAGTTTTGGAATATTGTCAACCTTAACGTGGCACAAGTGCTGAGTTTTCCAAAATTCTGCTTTCTGTTTGACAACTTTAATTTGTTATTGTCAACATATACTATCATTTATTTTCCTTGAAATGACAGACTCACTTCATCCATTTTTGAGATAATGTCTACCTGCCAAATAGTCAAGTTTAAATAATCACAGTGTATCACAGACTGTTTTTTTAGGGGAAAAAAATTGGTTCCATGAAAAAAACATGACTAATTTCTGCCTGCAATTCAGTCACACAGACCTCAAGGGAGCTATCATTCACTCAGTATTCAAATATCCATTATTTATCCTGAGATATACAACTTAGATAGCATATTAAAAAGCAGAGACATTACTTTGCCAACAAAGGTCCGTCTAGTCAAGGCTATGGTTTTTCCAGTGGTCATGGATGGATGTGAGAGTTGGACTGTGAAGAAAGCTGAGCACCAAAGAATTGATGCTTTTGAACTGTGGTGTTGGAGAAGACTCTTGAGAGTCCCTTGGACTGCAAGGAGATCCAACCACTCCATCCTAAAGGAGATCAGTCCTGGGTGTTCATTGGAAGGACTGATGCTGAAGCTGAAACTCCAATAGTTTGGCCACCGCATTCGAAGACTTAACTCGTTGGAAAAGACCCTGATGCTGGGAGGGATTGGGGGCAGGAGGAGAAGGGGACAACAGAGGATGAGATGGCTGGATGGCATCACTGACTCGATGGGCATGAGTTTGAGTAAACTCCGGGAGTTTGTGATGGACAGGGAGGCCTGGCATGCTGCGATTCATGGGGTCGCAAAGAGTCGGACACGACTGAGCGACTGAACTGAACTGAACTGATACATTCCACGGTTTTTCTGATTTTGAAAATTAACTCAAAAAGCTTATTTAAAGTGGAAGTATATTTTGAAGTAGAAATATATTTTAGCATTTTTCAGAGAAGTTAGTAGATGCTATCTAAAGAAATATAAGATTGAGTATAAAATAAATTTAGAAATGAAAATAAATCCTTCCAAAATATGTTGCTCATTGAAAGAAAAACGTGCTCAGAGTGAAGCACAAAGCAAAATCCAGCTCAGTCTTAAAAGAGACATCTGAGAAATGGTTTAGAAAATTAAGCACAAAGGTGTATCAGAGGAATATGAGAATATCCCTTTCCATAGAGAAAGTAGATCGTTTCAACTAAGGGGAATCACTAACATCTTTAAAATGATAAAGCCCTATGGATCAACTCACAGTGAAAACCTAATTAGAAATAGTCCAAGTAATAGGCCATTAGCAAAACAGGAAAGAAAAGGAAAAATAGACACTCTATGGGAGTAAACTTTATTTTACTTTTCAAGGTCAGGTAGATGTAAAAAGTTGTAAAATAATAAAGTAGGTCTAATTGATAGATTCTAAATTCTACATTCTGCAAATGGAGAATAAACCTTCTTAGGAGTGTCTATAACATTTTCACAAAACATACCATATGTTTGGCTATAAGGCAAGCCTTAAATTCCTGTGGAAGATATATTTGATGTTCATTTTAGCCTGCCAGCAATTAAGTCGCCTAAAAGGTAAACACTTTTACCTCTAGAATAGGGATTGAAAGAAAAAATGAGGCCTTTCCTTTATACATTTCTGTGCTCAGAATTTTGATAGCGTATGTGTGTTGATTTTGTAATTTAGAAAAGTTTTTGAATGTCTCACTTTAGTAACCTTAGTGATGATCATTCAGCATGGAATTTAGAATGTACCTACTGTCTAGTGCTTACCTAGTGCAGCCTCATTAGGGGAAGGATGATAACTAAGACAGAAAACAATCTACAGTGAGTCAGGTTAAGATAATCCTGTTTGTCTACTGTTTGTGAATAAGAATTCTTGCCAAATGTAGCATTCCATTCATATGATTTTGAATTAGTGTCCTTGGTCACAGATGTGCTTGCTAGATTACTCTCATGTGAACATGATTAGATGGGTAGTTATTCTGATAATCTGTATCTCTAATTTACTTCATTTGCTTTGGGGATATAAAAGGATTGTAGTTTCCATTTGAATTATATCCCCAATAAAAACAAAGTAATGAGTATAAATCGTGGACCACATTAATATCAGTGAAGTAGATTTTAATTTTTTAAGTTTGATTGGAAAAGCAGGATATGCAGTTCTCACTGGCCATCTTTTCATTGCAGAAAGAACTGGTTGTCTTCCTGGGCCGTTTTGCAGGGTTCATCTTTACTCTTCACTAAAACCCAAGGAAGTAGCACAAGTTGGGTAAGTATTTCTTTTCTTTGGAGGCTTTACACATTTAAATTATATGGACGGTATTGCACTTGAATTTCATAAGGTGTTCCAGAGTCCATCTGACTACCGCTTCTGTGCAAATAAATGAGGCTTTCTTAGTTAAAGATGCATTTTGACTCATGAGAGAAAGAAGAGGGCCACTTAGAAAAGTTGACTCGTATTATTAAAATCCTGACTTTACTCTTTCAGGTATTTATTTAGTCAGAAAATAAGCAGTCATGTGGCAAGCCCCACCTTGATTTGTGACCTGACCCTTGGATACTAGTCAGATTTCAATGTCTATATATGATATGAGCCAGCTTTCAGAAGAAAACGAAATGTCACCATTACTTGTGGGACTTTGAAGCTGTTTATATATTTGAGTATTTACTACTGTTAATTCTTGGTTATTTATAATATAAATACCAAAAATTATAATTTGTGACATATCATAGGTTAACATTTTTTAAATGCTGAAAATGTATGAGATACTGTTCTAAGTATAGAGGATGGGGTGTGTGTGTGTATATATATGTGTGCGTGTATATATATACACACACACACATATATATATATATATATATATATATATATATGTATTATTCTCTTAACTCTGGGAGAGTGCTGTTTGTCATCCCCTCCCCGCCTGTTGGAGATGAGAAAATGAGGTGTGAAATAGTTCAGTGACTCGCTCAAAGTCTTAGAGCTAAAGACTTAGAGCTAAAGTCAGTGACTCGCTCAGTCTTAGAATGACAGATCTGGGTATCATTTTGGCTCCAGAGTCCATGCTCTGGGTATGTCCAGAAAGATTTAAAAATGAAATTAAGCTGTTGTCTTTCATCTGCTTTATATTCTACCTTAATGAATATTTCTTAAAATTACCGAGTTGCTTTAAAATGACTAGGACCTGTTGGCCTTACCTTTGATAAAAGAGAAATCCATTTGTAAAATCAAAGCAAATTTTAGTCACATACCTTTACAGTCATGTAACATTGTTCAGAGCCAGGAGTGTCACAGAGCATGCTAGTCCTCAAACACTGTGATGCAGTAACCTCCCAAACTGTTGGATGGAGTGTAGATAGGAACTGTCTGGAATATTTCTTCTCTTTTGCTTCTCTGATGCTTTGATTTGCTCTCTGGTCTGCCAGTACAGTGAAACTGACCTGTGATTGCTTATCCACATTAAAAGACTTAAATTTTTGTTTGACTTGTCTTAAAGGAAATTGATAATTGTTTTTCCTTTGTCACCTGAGGTGAAGCGTGTTGTACTTTTCTGTTATATTCACGCATTTCTAGAAGATGATGTAGTTATTTATTCTTTCTACTTGTGGCTCAACTTTTATTTGAAATTGAGTGAAGGAAGTGAATGAAAGCAATGGAGAAGCAATTAGAGATTAAAATAATAAAAAAGTTACTGAAGAAAGTTGGATAATGATCATTTATTTGATAGTTATCAATCCTTAAAGATTGCAGGTTGTAGCATATACAAATAAAACAAGTACCTAGATCACTGGTAAGTGAGGCATCATTGAGGTAGGCAGATATGTCCGTGCTGCTAAGTTGCTTCAGCTGTGTCAGACTCCTTGCAACCCTATGGACTGTAGCCCGCCAAACTCCTCTGCCCATGGGATTCTCTAGGTGAGCGTACTAGAGTGGGTAGCCATTTCCTTCTCCGGGAGATCTTCCCTACACAGGGATCGAGCCCATGTCTCTTATGTCTCCTGCATTGGCAGGTAGTTTCTTTACCACTGGTGCCACTGTGACTTAAAGAAAATGAATTTTTTTTCTAATTAGGGGATGTTAAGTGAATACGATAGCACAGAATGATTAGTATAGACTAATTGTTGCATTTTAAGAAGGTCTCTTGAAAACTTTACATAAATCAGAACTCATAATTAAAACTAATGCCAGCGGAGGGCATAGGGTATTTCTGTTCATCATCTCAAGTTGGATTACTGCATTACCATGTGGTAATAGCAGAAACATCGCTTAAAATTCACTGAGCTCACCAATTTTGAAATTGTGAAATTCTTAATAGTGTTTTAACTTCAGAGATTCACTATTTGAGTTTTTGCCTTTAAATGAAATTTTATTAATATATTGTCAGTAATACATTATGATAATCATTTCAGATTGGTATAATTCGATAAAACATAGTCATCACACTGTGTTTTATAGTCTTAAAAACTAAACATGTGTGATATGATAAAATGCTTGATTATGCAGTCAATTCTTAATTTTTATTGTATGGCTAACTAAAAAATCTCAAACCACCTTGCTTTTTCTTCCCATATGTAACACAGAGTAAGGGAATTGAAACTAATTTAAGCCTAAGTAAAAGCAAATAAGATTATTCAAATAAAAAAAAGTGTAAGTATATGTAATATATTTTGGTATATATAACACTCATGAATATTAAAAATTGATGAAATATGCAAGATGCTTTTTAATTAACTCTGTAATTAGGATTGCTCACAAAGGATTTGAAAGACTCCTAGCTTTGTTTCTCAGTCACCAGCTAGATCTATCACAAGTAAAATGTGTCCTGTTTATACAGTGAAATCACGTCTACCTGAGGCTGGCATGTAAGCCAAAAAGACAAGAATCATCTCCAGTGAAAATTTCCTTTGAGTGTAACTTAGGAAGATGCTGTCAGGAGTCAGTCTCTGGCAGAATCAGTTTTTTCCCTTTGCTTTTGGAAGACATCATTTTTCCTTCAGTTGGCCTCAAATGGTTTGTTCCAGGGCTATGTTGGAAACGTATGATTCTTTACAGATTAGTTTCATACTAAGTGCAAAAACCTCTATTGAGATCCCGTGGAAGGAATAGCCAATTCAGATCTTACACTCACTCCTGGGCATATACGCATGGATGGGATGCTGAGCAAAACCATCCATACTATTTGAACTTCTGTTTTTAGAAAACCTTTCATGCTTTATATTTATTTGTAATTTCATGGGTAGTTAAGATGGAGCAAATGAAATGTGCACATGCTGTCTGTAAGATAATTTTACACCAGTGCCGCATCATCCAGAATCCAGCCAGCCTCTCCACCTCCTTTGGAATGGGTAGACGTCACTTGTTTCCTGGAAAGTATTAGTTGTCCCCGGAGTTGCTGGATCAGTAACTTAAATTATACTTGCCCTTTTCTTACCTCCTTTCACCTTACTTGTTCAGCGGGTGATGGCAACACCTCCGCCTCCAGCTCGGCTCCAGAACTCGCCAGGTGTCCCTGGGTGACAGCCTTGCCTCTGGTGGAGAGCCACAGTCCCTGAGTAAGGGGAGGCGAGCTGGAGGGCAGGGCCTCTCCTCAGAGAGAGCTTAGACAGGAACCAGGGTACGTGGCCCCGCCGGCCACAGGGAGGAGGCGCAAGGCTTTGTGAGGAGGGGCTGTACGACTCCTCTCTGTTACCCACTGAGTCTTCCCTTGTGGATATAAGGGAGGACGAGTCTGTTCAAACTAAGTTGTAAAAAAGCATTCATCTCAAAGATAAGCATGAATTGATAGAATAACAAAGTCAGAAAATACCCTGAGATAAATTCTAGGGCTTTTGGAAAATATTTTGGAGATGTAGCTTTGCCTGTGTTGTGTCTGCTTGCAGAGTTGTATTTTTGTCCTGCCTGGTTCCATTATGGTTTTCTCTTGTATGTCATTTTGCCATTGTGCACTGTAATGACATCGTCATTTTCTTCCCTTTTCCCATCAAGTCATTCTGCCAGCAGGGCTCAGTCTCTGAGCTCCTGCTCTCGCTGCTTTCTTCCTGGAAAATCTCTGTCCGCCGCCGGCCTGCTGTCGCATATGTAAAATCTGATCCTGTTTCTGCTGTCACTGTATGTGTTCTTGTTGCATGTCCCTTGCCACAGTAGTTCTGTTTTCTTTTCCATGAATGCTTTGGGGTGATGATTACAGTAGAGAAAAGCAGGACTGGATTTTGAGAAATAATGGATAGCAAACATAAAAGTTTGCTGACCACAGTAGAACATTTTTTTTTTTTCACAGTAGGGCATTTTTATAGCATTCCTTGTCATGTCATTGTATTTGGTTACTATAATTTATTTGGTTGGTTATTTATATCTTGGCTTATAACTCTACCAACTTATAACTCTTATAACTTATCTACCAAGCATGTCATGATGACAAGTTAAACTATAATTTTTATCATTTTGTTAAATGTATCCATTTAAGTTTCATAACTTTCGAAATATATCAGATTTGCTCAGAAAGTTATCTGTGCCCATCATAGCTTAGTGATTTAACTGCAGTGATTTTTAAATTACAATGCGAATTATTTTTAATGTTTTTTGAATGACAAAAGGTATAAAGAAGGCAGAGGCTCTGTGGAATTGTTAAAATTTGTTTTGTGATTTTTTAATTGTTCCACTATTTCCATGAAATAGTTTGAATTTTGTTTTGATTCCACTAATAAATCCCATATAGTACCTTGAGTTTTGTTTAGTTATGTCACCTATAGTATTTAAGACCAACTGAAAAGACGTAGTAAAAGGGAACAGATGAAGTTGAAGCATTTATTAAAAGTGAATTACAAATGTTGTCATTGACGTTACAAATAGTAAGTTATCACAAGATTGGTGGGTAAGATTCATTTCCAGTGACAAATAGAATTTGATAATATTTTAGCAAGTGAGAGTTTCTATAACAAATCTTTATGAACTTGAAGATTACAATTCATCAGCCTGTAAGGATTTTTTAAACCCCCAAATCCTACAGTAACAATGGAATGCTATTTTCTATTCTCAGTTAATAGATGAAACAGAAATTTAAGTTAATGATGGCAATATATAGAGTAGGTCTATATTTAACATACATTTTTCTGCTGCTTACTAACCTTTTCCTTATCTGGTTAACAAAGTATAATAGCCAACTAAATGCTGCTTCTTCTCGAACCACCCATGTCCACTGTCTTCCTGATCTGTTCACTGTTCCTCTTTCAATTGCTGAGGCTTTAGAGCATCTGACTCCAAGCTTTTATTTCCAAAAAAGGCTGAATAAAAGAACATGGGGCTCAGGATTTTGTCTTTACAAGTTATTGTTAGTTGTTGACAACATAAAGAGTCGATAAGGAAATAACCTTTGAAAGTACAGAATCAGGTTTAGAGAATGTGTTTTTGGTGGAAAAGAACTTGGTTATCTGCCAGACGTTATTTATATGTATATAAGAATATGACCTTTTGAACATGTCATTTTACATAATTATGGATAGTTTAGAATGAATTCCAAAAAAAGAATTGCTCAGCCACAGTATACATGAGTTTATAAATTTGAAAATATAGTATTAGCAGTTTTTCCTCTCCAGGAATTCTGGTTTATAGCCCACTTGCAAATGAGGGCTTATTACTCTCTAGCCTCACCAATGTAATTTTTCATCAAACTTTTTGTTGTTGTTTTTATACTAATGGGTGAAAAAAGATTTTAGCCTGGCTTTACTTTGTATTTTTCTTATAATGATGGAGGTTGAGCCATTTTGTTTCCTTTTCAGTGAACTATATGTAATCATGTCTTACAAACATTTTTCAATTTCAAGTAGGAATTGTTATTTTATGATATAAAAAGAGAAGAATTTGAGGTAACCCTCTGTTTCATTTATTGTTAATAATACAAAATTGGTCTTAATTCTTCTTGGATACATGTATGTACATGAATATAACAAAGATTTTTCCTTTTTTTCCGAAACAAAGTTTGGGAGTAATCAGTCCAAACCAGAGTTCACGGTGGACCTTAAGGGAGCGACCATTGAGATGGCTTCAAAGGATAAATCCAGCAAAAAGAATGTATTTGAGGTAATAAATTATTGTCTAAGTATAATCCTCATTTTTAACCATAGTAATTTTATGTTCTGTTTGAGTTATTGGGGAAATTGTCTTTCAGTGTGACTAGTTAAGGCAAAGTTAAGTCAGTAAGTCAGTTTGTATTTGACTTTTAAGTCAAAAAAGCTGGTGTAAAGATCTAGCTTCGTTTGCGTGAGTGATTAGATCTCAGACTTTATATTACAAGCCTTTGTTCCAAGTCTTGCATTCCCCCAACAATAAAAGGTGTGGTTCCCTTTACCCACAAAATCCAATATTAAAAAGCAAGTTAAAGCTTTCCCAGTGTCACAAAAAGCTCCCCACAGTAACACATACTTATTACTGCCTAACAGACCACCCCAAACTCAGTAGCCCAAGAAAAGATGCATGTTGTTTGCTCAGTTTGGCCTGCCCAGAGCCTAGTGGTGGTTCTGATGCTCGGAGCTGAATGGTGGTGCTGACCTCACCCGGGTCTGGTCACCAGGCTTCAGTCGTCCAGCAGCTTGTGTGGGGCTGAACAGTCGAGTTCCCCTGTCCGGGGTCAGCGCTCGCTGCTGGCCGGGCTGCTCCTCACTGGCTCTCTCCTTGTTCAGTGGAGCGACTCCGGGCTTCTTCATGTTCAGGGTTCCCAGAGGGCCAGAGTGGGAGCCCCAGGGCTTCTTGAGATCTGGATGAAGAGTCAGACACCAGTGTGTCCTGCGTCTTAAAGCGAGCCAGGTGGCTGGCCAAAAATTCAGGGTCCACCTGCTGGTGGAGGAGCCATGGTCATACTGCGTGTGTGGAGAGCAGGGGGTGTTCAGACCAGCTTTGCAAATAGCCTTTCTTTAGAGCCTCCTGTCTCAGGCCTTTCCTCCTGTTGTTCAGGGGGATTGGAAGGGTTGACATTTCCCAAGTGGAACCTAAGTTTCTGTCCTGTTGATTTTTACTCCTGATCAATCTACCTTCAGTATCAAGGGCTGCTAGTCTCTGCTTGTCAAATGTTTCCTCTCTTCCAAGACTCAGGAGAAACCACAATAGAGATGTTGCAAGTTTATGCATTTAAAATAGCACTTGTTTTCATGTAGCTGGAGTTAACATCTTCTGTAAATTATTTCCCGACTAGATTATCCAAAAAGAAGAAAAGTTTTTCAAGCAGAGGCTACATTTTTTTCTTATTTTTATTTTTTTAGCATGTATCAAAAACTTTTATTTCATTCATTTTTTTAAAAATTAAATTATTTATTTTAATTGGAGGCTAATTACTTTACAGTAGTGGTTTTTGCCACATATTCACATGAATCAGCCATGGGTGTGCATGTGTCCCCCATCCTGAACCCCCCTCCCACCTCCCTCCCCATCCAGTCCCTCAGAGTTGTCCCAGTGCACCAGCCCTGAGCGCCCTGTCTCAGGCATCAAACCTGGACTGGCGATCTATTTCACATATGGTAGTATACATGTTTCAATGCTGTTCTTATTTTTAAGTGAGAACCTCTAACAAAACAGAGTATCTTACATGTGGTGAATATTCACTATTGATTGGTTGCTTGGCCTGCCCTCTAGGAAGAAATTCAGGGAAGGAAGTCACTATTTCCTGAGGTAGCTGTGTTTCATTCCAGAATGAAGAGGGTCCCATGGCCAAATAAATTTGGGAAATAGTGTGTATTTTATTCCTTTGTTAGAAAACCACAGTGCACCCTGGAGTAACGAAGCTCCAAGAAGTCTGGAAGGATAGAGTCTTATTCAGATCTCCTCAATTCAGTATTTTCTAAATTAATATGACATAATGAATCCTTTGCTTATTTTTTGAGGGATACCTTTTAAAACATTATTACAGGAGGAATATATCTCAGAATGTCGTTTGAGAAGCATTAGCATATGTTCCTCTGGGAAAAAAGGAAATCAAACATTCACCAGCCAGAAAATAGAAGGAATGCTCTCTATGGCTAATTCAAAATCCTTCTTCAGTTGAACCAAGGGTGTCATATGTAAATTTGTTATCACACTCATTGGAATCATACATAGTATCCTTACTTTAGTTAGTTCATGGGATGATAGCTCAATAATGTTTCTGTCTAAAGGGGATGTGGAAATTATTGTCTGTGCCCTCTCTTTGTACTAAGTCATTATATTTTCACACTAAGTAGGAAATATTGAAAGTCCAACCCTTCTAGATTCTCTGTCTACATTTATTTTTTTTAATCAGAGAGAAAAAATTTCTCAAGTTTATGTAAAACTATCATAGGTTTTATTTCTGTACAAATTATATTTCAATTCTCATTTAAAATGCATAGCCTAGATACTTGAACTTGTTTTTAATGATGACATATATAAGATTTCAGCAGGTTTTGTGTGTTTGTGTGATAGTTTGGTATCCTAAATTATTAGCTTTTCATTGAGAATCTATTGTGGGAAAAACATCATGTTTTGTAAAATAATTCAGTATTATTTTATGCTAAAATAAAGGATAATGGCTTCACTGTGAAATCTGTAACCTTGCATCACCATTAATATAATATATGGCATCTCATCTTCTGCTGGTGGTTTAGTAGACTGAATTAAATCCATTTACTTGATTGAAAGCACTCACATAAATATATATGTATATGTATATTTTTTCCTTCTTTAAAGCTGAAAACCCGTCAAGGAACCGAATTGCTGATTCAGTCTGACAATGACACTGTTATCAATGATTGGTTTAAAGTTCTCAGTAGTACTATCAGTAATCAGGTATGTGTTTGACTTAGGTTTTTTTTTTTTACCTTAGAGCTGTTTAATCTTTCTTCCTTTTTTTTTTTTGGCTATTTATTGTATATCTAGTTTCCAATTTATGTGTGAAAAAATACTTTTTGAAAATGCATATTTGATAGTGATCAGTTTAGCAATTCCTACTGCCTGATGGGGCTTCCCTTTTGGCTCAGTGGTAAAGAATCCATTTGCAGTGCAGGAGACATAAGAGATGCGGGTTCGATTTCTGGGTCAGGAAGCTCCCCTGGAGGAGGGCATGGCAACCTGCTCCAGCGTTCTTGGCGGGAAATCCTGTGGACAGAGGAGCCTGACGGGCTACAGTCCATGGGGTTGCAAAGAGTTGGACATGACTGAGCCATGAACAAACGAGAGGCTGATGAGTGATTTAATATTCACATTTATAGGATGTTTGCAATCAGTAGATTTCACGTAACTCTCACATGAGGCATTGGTTAAAAAAGAAATTAGCTCCAGAGGCAGGGCCAGCCACTATGCCTAGTCCACTCTGTTGTCTTGTCATCAGCTGGATGTGCTGGAAATCATACCGTTTGGTGGAAACTGCTACTGCACAAATTGGTGAGATGAATGAAGCTGTCGTCGGGTCATTCACACTTTCTCTTTCCTAGAAACTTTTCTACTTACAGTACCGTTGTGTTCCTGGTAAATTTCTTCTCGTATGTATTATACCCAAAAGAACTTCATATTTCTATTCTGAAGCTGAGTTAGTAAGAGCAGTAATAAACAACTTGAAGCTGCACTTTTCTTAGACTGTATTCCTGCCCCCTCAGCATATGGGGACATGGCTCCTGATTAAGTATCATGTGTCAGGGACAGAAGTGAAAGGAAAGCAGATACTTAGGAGTATAATGATTTTAAACTAAATGGAGACAGAAGAAAGTTGGGGAATTACTGGCTTTAGGAGAGACTGAGGTGTCTCTCAGAGACTTTGTTGGTAATGCTTCATTATTAACAAGGTTTGTGATCATATCCAAGTGTTCTCTTTCTGTGGGTCTCAGTTTTTCTACTGAAAAAAAAAAAATAGATTGGACTGGATTGTCTCCAAGTATCCTTTTATGCTCCCAGATTTTGTGATTCACTTAATTTACAACACCCTGATTTGAAACCTGAATTTTTTTTTTAACTCTTCCACCTCCAACTTTTATTCTTCAAGTAAATTATTCACCAGTCTAGATGTGAATTCTTCCCTTGCAGTCTGTAATACTGTATGAAATTTCTGAACCTTGTCCCTTTTCATTTATTTCTGAAACCATGGACAGGTCTTTAAATGTTTATACTGAGAGTAACCCCCTGAACAGTTTTTGTTATTTTATCTCACACCATCCCACACCAATCCATTCTTAAAGCCACTACAGTATGAAACTTCCTAAGTCACTTTTATAATCCTCTCCTGCTCAGAAACCTGATATGATTTGTATTAAAGTTCAACAGCCTGAGCCCAGTCTATCTGTCCAGATATACCTTTTACTCTACCCAGAATGGGCTTTCAGCTCTAGTCACAGCAATCCATTCACTGTCCTTTGAAAGCGAGGATGCTGCTGTTTACCAGATGTGTGAGTGTCTTATACCCTGGGATGTAGCAGCATTGCTGCCAGACGCATAGAGCTTACAGTCAAAGGCAGAAGATTACTGAAGACAGACAGCTGAACAGTTAATATAGTGAACGTTTAAAGATTCCGATTTTGTAGAGGCTAACACTAGTGGAGGGATCAAGGGAGGCCTTGCAGAGAAAGCGGTTTTTTAAATTAAGGCATCCAGGTTCAAGGAATAAGCCAGCTGAAAAGGGAGGACTATATTATTGACTATAAAAATTTTAAGTGTATACTGTTTGCAGAGTAGCAAAAGATACTGAAGGCAAGAGATGGGCAAAACTTCTTCAGGGAAAAATACAAAACTTATTGAGAGAAATTGACACATCTTAATTAAATGAGAAGTATATCGTGTTCATGGATTAAAAGATTCAGTTATATAAAGATATAATATTCTTCCAAATGATCTATAAATGTTTAGGTTTGAGGTATTTGGATCTCTTTCAGAATCCCAGTAGGTTTTCTGGTATAACTTGACAAGCTTTTTCTCATTCATTTAGAAATGCAAAGGGCTAAGGATATGCAAGATACCGTTGAAGAAGACTTGCTGTTTCGTACATCAGGCCCTGATAAAGCTACCTGTCCATAATGGGACAGATAAGCAGACCCGTGGAACAGAATAAAGAACCTGGAGACAGAGCCACATACCTTTGGCCAGTGTGCCAGGACAGGGCATGTGCTGGGTCAGCTGGAGGTCCAAGGAGAAGTTGGAGCTTTTCCTTATTCTGTGCACAAAAATAAATTCTCGGTGGAGTGAAAGGCAGAGCAGTGTTTTCAGCTTTGAGAATTCAGTCTGCTTTTTAACTTGTAAAAGTGACATTGTGAGTGAAGTCACTCAGTCGTGTCCGACTCTTTGCGACCCCATGGACCATAACCTACCAGGCTCCTCTGTCCATGGAATTTTCCAGGCAAGAGTACTGGAGTCGGTTGCCATTTCCTTCTCCAGGGGATCTTCCCGACCCAGCAACCAAACCCGGGTCTCCCACATTGCAGGCAAACACGTTACCGTCTGACCCACCAGGGAAGCCCCGTTAGGCTTAAATGAGTTCTAGGACTCCTTTCAATTCCTGACGTCCATGGGCCTAGCAGTAATGATGAACTGTTGACACAAGGTGCAGTTTTAAAAGACTGTTGCTGTGAAACAGTTAAGGTGCCCCTGCAGGTTAGCTTTGTCTGTCCTGTTATCAACAATGTAGCCTCATCCTAATCTGTCACCTTCTAACAGTTATTACTGTCACTTGATCAAACGATTATTACTGTCACTTGAGGCAAGATAGTGTCACTAACCCATTATCCTTGTGAATTATCAGTAATTTTTTTCTTTATTAAAATTCAGAATTAATGCCATCAATGGAGGAGAAAAAGAGTATTTTTTATAATATTTATCAAATAATCTAAATCATGGCTTCTGTATACTAATTCATTCCTTAAAGTCATTTGGAAGAATTGATCACTGGTCATTCTGAGAATTGCATCTAAAGTAATCGTAAAAGTAATACGTGTTTGGAAAATCTCTACCCAACAGACAGTAGAACCCGATGAAGCAATTGAAGAGGAGATACCAGATTCACCAGGAATAGAAAAGCACGATAAAGAAAAGGACCAGAAGGAGCCAAAGAAATTGCGTTGTAAGTTTTTCTTTCCCAGTTTTGCTAGTGGTTTGAGTGAGCTTATTATTCTCTTAGCTCTTCAGAGTTTTAAGGTAAATCTGTAAATGCTGAGTAGAATCACCACTGTTAACAAGAGTTGTAAGATTCAGTATTTGCAGCCTCAGCGTTTCAGTGTTCTCTATTTTCATTTACTCACTGTAATTTTTCACCCTAATCGTACGCACCCCAATGGCACCGTATATTGCATTACCTTTTCAAGAGAAAAAAAAAAAGGACGCAACAGAATGCAGTTATGTTGAGGTCTCTAGGAAGCTGAATTTTATGAACTGAAAAATGGATGATTACTGTTTAAGATCCTCACACGTTGAGAAGTCAGAAGTTAGGGGATATGTACCGTAGTTCCAAACCAAACACCAGGCAGCCACCTCTAACTCATAGATGTCTGTGCAGGTAGCTGCATGAATTTAACCTCCAGATGACATAATACGTACAAGACCGGAGTGAGCCAGCAGTTTTAGGGATTGCATTTTCTAAAGCAGGCCTCTTGTAAATTGCATAGTTTTAACAGGCCATTAGCCATGACTCTGAACTTTGTTAAATCTATTTGAACAAATCCACATTTAACTCAGAACTTTTTGGTCTTCACAGGAACTGAAGGAGTAGAAAAATCAGTTCATTTGTTCTCTCACATTCTAATTGTTCAGGCCTATTACTGACACTGTCACTGTGTAACAGTGTAAACACATGAAAATTTTATTGTTTTAATTCTTTCCTCACATATTGTTTGTGCTCTCAACTTTCTTCACATATAGTTATTTTCAAGAAATTTACTTTTCAAATTTGTGTTATGGTAATCAAAAAAAGAAATCAGGACTACAAGAAATGTAGACCATTTTCCAGGTGATCCCATCTTTAGGTCAGGGTAGGGATACTTATGATGAGTCTGAGTCCAGCTTGAAGCACAAATACTGGTGATGGATATGTGTGAACATATGTGTGTGTACATATGAGTACATCTTAATATATATGTATACATATACAACCCCCAGCTCCCAGTTCAGTAAGGATAGGGAAGGGTGGAGGTTTTGTTTATGTTTTATAGGATGGTTTCTTTACTTTTTGCTCTTCATTTTATGCTCTAAAACTGGGGGATAGTCTAAGATTATACATAGTATCATTTATTAAATAATGAGTATATAATAGAATAACTTACAAATGTCATGGCACACATACCAAAGAAGGCACTGTTTGTGGTCAGTGTTTAGTGATAGAAATGGAATGTTTTGTGTGGTGTATTACTTTGAAATTGGGTCTGTGTTAATTCTTCATGAGTTACTCTTAAACCATATTAAAGTTAGAATAATTGATTTACTGTAATTTTTATATATGAGATTAATATATTTTGAATGCTAGGTGGAAAAATTTTTATCAAAAAAGCCTTTATCTTATGAAATGCTTAATATCTATCTGTCTTAAGCCACAAAAGTATCTAGCATAGATTCTTCAGAACAGAAAAAAACCAAGAAAAACTTGAAGAAGTTTCTTACACGACGCCCCACTTTGCAAGCTGTTCGTGAAAAAGGTTATATTAAAGGTAGGTAGAAGTGATGTTTATAGCAATGAACTTTGGCCAGAATCAGAAATAAGACATTTTACATTTATAGCTGAGTAATTTCAAAACAGTAAAAATGTTTTCATTCCTTATTCATTATCAGTTCAGTGATTACAATACATTTGAGTAATCAAAATTGATTTTCAAATGCATGTGAGTTTAAAGCATTGAACAGATGTAAATACCAAATTCAGTTTTTAGAAACCCTGCACCAGAGGAACTACACAGATGTGATGGGTTGGGTGGCAAACTTTCAGAATGACAATAAAGATTTTTAGTTTTGAGTTGCACAGATCAGAAGAAATATTGAATAGTCACTAACAGTAGAAAAAAAGAAGAAAGATAATGAACAATTTTATTCTTGATTATTTGCCTTCAGTTCTCATTTAAGGTAATTACAAAATTAGTATAAAGTATTTTTTCCTAATTAATTTTTATATCTTTTTCAAGTGTAAGTCACAATTCACTAATAAGATCTTTTAATATTCTTTAAAATTACATGTTCTGTGTATACCTTTAATTCTTAAAAAAGTGTGTTTCGTTTCAAAGGTTAAATTTTCTAATACATAACTCAAGAGACAATTGTTCATCAGTAAAAAATATAATAAAAGGTAGCATAATATGTATATTATGCCTGTCTTTTGTGAAGATTCTAACAAAGACTGTTGTTGGGACATCTGTTTGCAAATCATCTAAACTAAAATATACAAATAAGTTTCAGTAAACACTACTGTGTGTAAAATGGATAACTAAAGAGAAACTACTGTATAGCACAGGGAACTCTACTCAATGCTCTATAGTGGCCTATAGGGGAAAATAATTTAAAAAAGAGTGAATATATGTATGTGTAACTGTGTCATTTTGCTGTACGCCTGAAATTAACACAACCTTGTAAATCAACTGCAGTCCAGTGAAAATGTTTATAAAGATGAGATACAGACAAGATAATTTAAAATAGCGATGAGTTCCATGAAGAATTGAACACAGTGATAAAATAGAGTGACTAGAATTGGGTTACCTTAGGTAGCATAGTCAGAGGGTTTTTTTTCCCCCCTTTATTTATTTGGCTGCACTGGGACTTAGCTGTGGCACACGGGATCTTCAGTTGCAACATGTGAACTCTTAGCTGCAGCATGGGCAGTTTTAGTTGCAGTATGTGGGATCTAGTTCCCCAGCCAGGGATTGAACTTGGGCCCCCTGCGTTGGAAGCATGGAGTCTTAGCCACTGGATCACCAGGAAAGTCCCAAAGAAGGTTCTTCTAAGGAGGTGACATATTAGCTGAGACCAGAAGTGATGAGAAAGAGCTCCATTTGGGAGGGAAGATTGAGCCTGTCATCTGCACAGGATGAGAAAGTAAGAAGGGAGCCAGGGACTTCCCTGATGGTCCAGTTCTTAGGACTTTGTGTTGTCAGTTGCGAAGTGCAGGTTCAGACCCTCGTCAGGGAACTAAGATCCTGCAAGCTGTGAGGTGTGGCCACCAAAAACAAGAGCAGAGGAGCCAGGCAGGAGTGAGGGAAGGTGTTCTTGGAGCTTCATGAAGAAGGAAAACCGTGTGGTGAAATACAGTCAGAAGCAGTCAGCAAAGTACAGATCAGACAAGCATGTGTCGTGGTGAAGTGCACATTTGCAAGGGTACCTCCTGTTGCGCTCCCAGTGGTTTAGCCACTTTGTGAACTATTCTTTCTTAAAATTTCTTCCAGATCAGGTATTTGGAGCCAATCTTTCTAATCTGTGTCAGAGAGAGAATAGCACCGTGCCAAAATTTGTGAAATTATGCATTGAGCATGTCGAGCAATATGGTAAGAAAAAAAAAATTTTTTTTTTAATGTTAAGCACACCAGCCCACTGTTTTGCCATTAAAACCCCTAGGATTTTTGATTCTGAGTGTTGCAACCAGAAGTTCTTTTTAGTTGTAAGTTGTCAAGAAAAGCATCTGTTTTGCAAAAAAGAAAAAACCTACTTTTTTGTACTGTTTCAAATTAAGACCTTTGCAGTCATCTGTTGAATGTTCAGTACTTAGGGTTGATTAAGGATATGGTATTCCTTGAAGACATTTGGAGTTGACATTTGCTTAAAATGAAAGTGGTGATTGTGAAACTGTGTTTATTAAGAAATGATTGGACAGTATTGGAGATGGTGTTTACTTACCAAGAGAAAGTTTCTTCTGTTTATAATAAAAATGAGATGACCTTCCAAAATCGCTAAGACAACTATAAAGTGTCCAAATAGACAAATCCTCTTTATATCATTTCTTGTAAAAGAAGACTTAAATTAATTTCTATTTTGGTTAATTTTAGCATGTTATTTATTAGTGTTATTTATACTAGCTTTTAAAATAACAGTATCTTGACTGCAGTCACATTAACTTACATCAGTATGTCATCCAAAAAATCTTGTGTAATGAAAATGTTTGCATAAAATGTAATTACTGCTGCTTACGGATCTCTTGTCTGATCTTTATCAGCCTGACAATAGAGAAGCCATGGTCCTTACCTTTACTGGAAGTTAAGTGATTAATAAGCACATTAGATAATGTTAATATGTGCATCATTATTGAATATTTGAACTTTGGGGGATTTCATTGTGTGAATTTCAAATGATTCTATTCCACATAATAAATAAAAGAAATTAATAGCTATCTCAAATTATCAGTTCTTCTTATAGAACCATCATTTTAGTTGCTGGCTTGTATTAAGTTTATTGGGCTTCTCTGGTGGCTCAGATGGTAAAGATCTGCCTGCAATGCAGGAGACCCAGGTTTGATTCCTGGGTCGGGAAGATCCCCTGGAGAAGGGAGTGGCTACCCACTCCAGTGTTCTTGCCTGGAAAATTCCATGGACAGAGGATCCACGTGGGTTCCAGTTCATGGGGGTCACAAACAGTAGGACATGACTAAGCGAGTAACACTTTCACTTCATATTAAGTTTATTATAAACACCAACTCTTGAGAGTCCCTTGGACTGCAAGGAGGTCAAACCAGTCAGTCCTAAAGGAAATCAACCCTAAATACTCATTGGGAGGACTAATGTTGAAGCTCCAATACTTTGGCCACGTGATGCAAAGAGCTACTTATTGGAAAAGACCATAATTGCTGGGAAAGGTTGAGGGCAGTAGAAGAGGAACGCAGCAGAGGATGAGGTGGTTAGATAGCATCACCGACTCAATGGACATGAATTTGGGCAAATTCTGGGAGACAGTGAAGGACAGGGAAGGCTAGTGTGTTGCAGTCCAAGGGGTCACAAAGAGTTGGACTCGACTTAGCAACTGAACAACAACAGTAATTTGACAAACATTTTTCAGAGGGTGCCTTAATATGTACATTTACACTATGAAATGACATATGAAATGACAAAGAAATGGGTAGGCTGATTTTATCTACCAGTTTTCTTTACTGTTTGATTCATCCTCAAGTGTTTGCTCAAGTTTATCATAAATTGTTAGTATTTCAAGGTTGAGATGATTTCTGTGAGGCGATCCACAGTCTGCTTGATAAAGTAGATTTGTTGCTGTTTACCAAACAATTCAGAGTGAATCTCCACCCCTGTTTCCCTGCCAAGTAGCTATAAAAAGCCATTGAGAGGAAAAGAGAAATTTTATTTTAGGCTAAATGTTAATAAATAAGAACTCTAAGACCTGAAAGCATCTGTAGATGAGGCCCACAAAAACGTCAGTCTTGAATTATTGTCATTTGTCTCTTAGGGCTGGATGTTGATGGGATTTACAGAGTTAGTGGCAACCTTGCAGTGATCCAGAAGCTGAGGTTTGCAGTCAATCACGGTGAGGTCATATTCCCTGTTGTTATATACAGAAGAATCACTCATACTGTTAGAATTGGTTTAAGATAATTTCCAAGAATTTCCTATTCCTTCTGTTTTGCAGATGAGAAATTGGACTTGAAGGATAGTAAATGGGAAGATATTCATGTCATCACTGGAGCCCTCAAAATGTTTTTTCGAGAATTACCGGAACCTCTCTTTACATTTAATCATTTTAATGATTTTGTTAATGCAATTAGTAAGTAATGTAGTTGCACTCAATTTCCCCCCCAGATGTTGAAAACCCTCTGTTCATACAGATTAAGCTACTGCAATTCCTTTTGATCTTACTTGAAACAAGTTTTTTCAAAGAATAGCTTCAGTCCAGAAATTTTAAATGCGACCACCAGGTGTCACTGTGTATCACCAAATACCAGGTTCCAAAACCCTGCCACCGCTTTCAGTTTCATGCAGACTCTCCCTTCGTTGTCTTTTTTTCAGAACAAGAACCACGACAGCGTGTCTCTGCTGTGAAGGACCTGATCAAACAGTTGCCAAAGCCAAATCAGGACACAATGCAGATTCTGTTCAGACATCTCAAAAGGTAAGAGTCTCACGGCAGGAGAGAAGGAGTAATTGGGGAAAAAGAAGGTCAGAGAAGTGCACAGGTATGATACGTGGTGTGGGACCCTCGGGGCCAGGCGACCAGACCCAGGTTCAGAGCCCAGCTGTGCTGTTCTTTGTAACTAAGAAAGATAATGTCTCTGAGCCCCAGTTCCTCGTAGGTAACGTGGTTTGGTATAAAGAATACATTAAGGTCAATTTTATATGTGAAACTTGTATTAATATATATTGCCTAGCATATAGTAAGTGTTCAGAAATAGTTGCTCAAAGTTAATTATTATGGAGATTAGATTGGTTATTAAGTGAGGAATATTCAGTTACCTTAAAGTCAGGGTAATTAGGTCTAAATTACCATATAGCTACTGTGAAACTTCTGATAGGAAGGATACCAGTTTATTAAAATAAGGGATCACAGCATGAGATTTTTTTTTTAATAGCATAAAATGAGTAAAATTCAAAGTTTATTCTCTGTGCTCTAATAAGATTTCCCCGTCACTTTAGTGGGGGAATCATTGTTATCTGAATTATAGCAGGTGTTCAATTATACCTGTCACCTAAGTTTATCCAAAAGAAAACTTTCCATATTATTCAGACTGGATTCTGTTTGGTTAAATAGTTTGTATTTACCTTAGGGAAATGAGCATTATTTTTCTTTGCTGAGTGCAAACTGTTTATAACACTGAAGAATTTCCCTGATTTTTAAATTTTCTTTTTTAACAATTTTGTTTTCCTCTTAGAGTTATAGAAAATGGAGAAAAAAACCGAATGACGTATCAGAGCATAGCGATTGTTTTTGGTCCCACTCTGCTCAAGCCAGAGAAGGAAACTGGTAACATAGCGGTCCATACCGTCTACCAGAATCAGATCGTAGAATTAATTCTTCTCGAGATAAATTCCATCTTTGGACGCTGACACTTACTGAAGACAACCTGTGGAATAGAAGCTGAATTTCATCAGATTCCAGATCCTTATACCTGACGTATCTTATGTTTGGACCAAGCAGTGACTCTTTGATTTTGCACTTTTCTGAGGGATCAGAAGGGAACGGAAGAGTCCAGATATGTGTTAGGCCCTCATATTTGCTGCTTTGTTGCAAGTTGATAAACCTGTGTGTACCTTTGAATTAATTTTATCCTGAATGTTTGCGTTTCACACTCTGAATTTCAGTTTAAAAAAAAAAAAAATCAAAACTTGCGATTCTAACCAGTCACATACACTGGATAATTTGGTAAGAATACATTTTTTTTCTCCTTAAACTGGATAACGTAGAATTTCTTCTCATGATTTGATAGGTTCATTACTTGATAGAACAACGCTTACAATCAGTTATTTTGAAAACGCTCCTGGGCATTTAAAACAAAGTGAAGTATGTCTGTTTTGAAACCTGTGTGTTTCTTTTCCAGGGTTTCTGCATGCAGTGGCAGTCTGAGTGCTAGGACTCATTACAACCCAGACACCACGCCTTGATGAAGGCTGGCTGTTTTCACTGTGTAACGCAGCAGCACACTAATAGTACTTAAAACACTGTGATATACTAGAGTTGAATTTAGCATAAGCCAGTTCAGGGTATTTTGGGGCTGTCTATACTACACTGACTTGTAGCTAACAATCCTAATTCTCTCTAGTGCCATATTGAGTTCTTGGTATGACCCTGTGGAGAAACCAGCTTTCTTTGATCTAAGTTCAGGCTGAAGACTGTCCTTTAGCTCATGTATATAATTGTGTTGTATAGTCTCAGAGTACATTCTAACCCCTTGTTTCTAATCACGATACTGGTAATTTTTCTCCATGAATATTAGGTTTCCTCCAGAAACAGGCCGTTATTTGAGGAAGTTAACTGTGTGCACTTTTAGATTTTAATTACATTTACAGCAAATCACTGTAATGCAAATGGTACTGGAAAAATGCTGAATAGACTTGCTAAATGGTAAATGCACTACAAGAGGAACCTTTTAGATTATTTAATATGTACAGAATACATTAGAAAAAAAATTTATTACAGAATTCTAACTCTGCAGTATGAATAGTGGAAACCCATATGTAAATTAGATAGAGGTCAGTTCGGAAATGACATTGCTAAATCTGAGAATTTCTTTTTACATTACTAATGTAGATCGGTCTGTATAATAAAACAGGGTTTGGAAGGTTTTGTTACAGAGAGCATGGTCTGCTGAAGATTTTTTTAAAATGTATTTTTCTAGATTAACTGCTGTAAATGAAATGTCTAATCCGAATAAAGAAAACTATAAGAGGTTTAGAGATTTTTTTTCTGTTGGAAATATGCATTTTGGTTTTTAATTTTGTTTTGTTTTTGCATTTACTGGCACACTTTTATAATACCTCATTTAAAGAAAAAAATCACGTGAATCCAATATTTCCTGTGGCAAATATGTCTCCCTCATTTCACACCTTTTCTGCCCCCCGCAACTAGTGCCCTCCCCACCCCCCCGCGCCCCCACCCTCCCACTCTGTTTCTTCATCAGTATTTGAAAGTGAATGATTTGCAACCCAGACTGTTTTTCTTAGGATCACATTTACAATTTACAGATTCGTTTTCTTGGGAACAAATATTTTTTGTATGACCTGCCTAAAAACCTCTCGCCTGAGTTTTGTGGTAAAAGTATTGTTTGTGGTTGTGATCTTATTAAATTGATAACAAACTAAGCTATTTGACAGCAGTGGGAAAGCAGATTGTCTTGGGCAGGGAAAAAAATCCCCCAGATGAGAATGTTTATATTTGCCTAAAGATGTCCATAACCATATACAATGCCCTAGGCCTGGCCTGTGTAGTGATTGTATGCCAGGAAAACAATTAGATGCAAATCAGTGATGTTCTTTCTCTTGGTAGTTACAACATATCAAAGAATAAAATTGTCCTGTGTTTCTTGTTTCAAAGTACATGTGTGTATGTGAAGTCTTAAATGTTTTAATAGTCGATGGCTAATCAGCTTATTGTAATATTGTATGTACAGTGAGATCAATGTCTTGTGTTTTCATCCTCTGTGAATTAAAAATTCTCACTTGTTTTGTCATAACAAAACCAGTAATTTTTCCTGTCTTGACAGCTTGATTTTTAGTAGAAAATATATTAAAGGCTGAAATAAATTGTCAGTGAAATTTCATCTGCTAATAGACTTTCCTTCAGAGTGTCATTAAAAAAATAGGAAATGGAAAGAAAAAAGTATATTCAAGTATGTTGTTCTATTTCAATACAAGAAAATACTATTTAAATTTTACTGCCGTAAGAAATTTTGCCTTTTACTTTAGAAAAAGTTAATTTAAAAAAAAGCATTGTTACCTTTTAGGTAAAGGCAAACTGTTAAGATTCTTTTTTTTCTTATGTGAAAAGCACAAATGGAATAATTCAGCCAAACTTTGGGCATAGACAGTTGTGTTATATACGCATACACACATATATGTGTATGTATATTGTTCAGTTGCTAAGTCCTGTCCAACTTTTTGCCACCCAGTGGACTGCATCACGCCAGGCTCCTCTGTTCATGGGATTTCCCAGGCAAGAATACTGGAGTGGGTTGCCGTTTCCTTCTCCTTGGATCTTCCTGACCCAGGGATCAAACCCATGTGTCATGCATTGGCAGGTGGATTCTTTGCCATTGAGCCACCAGGGAAGCCTGAATGTGTCATTGCTTACATACAAATGAAAACTCATCAATAATAATAATAATAGTAATGGTAGATACCTGGAGACCTTTGTGTACTATTCTAATTTTATCCCATGGTTCTTTGTAATATTAAATATTAAGATAGCAGAGAGGGAAAAAAAGGCTATTCCATAATTGTGCCCTGAGATTTTTTTTATCAGTTCATGGGAGAGGCTTCTGATTAAATGTTTAAACATGCCGTTTTTCACGACACTGATTTCTCCAACATCTTTAAGCATTTAGAAGAAATACATAGAGGAACCTACAACATGTCTTTAGTGAAAAAAAAAAAAGAATAATCAGATGGGTGTCATCCTCTCATTGGTCTTTTAAAAGTCAACTACAGTATTGCATCCATATAGAGTTGAAAATGGGTAGAAAATAAGATGGTATTAAGTTTCCTGGTGTCTCAACTCAGTCTGCACTAACGGTCCTCCTTTATAGAAAGCACGCCTAGTTTGAGACCGATGTGTTTTAATTAGCGAGTTTAGCGTGTTTGTTACAGTCCTTGAGGTGGGGCGTCATTTCTGTTTTTGTTTTTAAATGGTATTCCAGTATAACTAATACAGTCATGTTATATGCAACTTCAGTTTGAAACCAAAAAAGAAAAAAAAGGCAAAGGGGCTGCAAAACAAGATCAGCAGCCTTACAATGATGGTGATTAGAATCTGTTGAAAATTCACAAGCCCGGTGCCCAGGCCGGACAAAGTCAGCCCTAGGCCTTGCAGAGAACGGGACGTCCAGAATGCTAATAAGACCTTCTGTAGCTACAGAAGGCAGGGAGTTCTCCTGAAGAATCTCAATTAGGCTTCTCAACTGAAGTTTTGTGGACCAGGGGTGGCTGTAAGTGTATTCAGCTGGATTGAGCTTTTACAGATTAGCCTTATGTGACTGTGGCACTTAAATGAACTCTTTCATTTCCTTCATTGCTTCCCTTCTCCTGCAGGAGAAAAAAAAAGAAAAACAAAACGCAAAAAGCACTTTCATGGTACTCATAAACAGAGCACATCGAGACCAAGGTACCTGTTTAACACACCACCACAATATGAATCCAGAAAAGTTTGGTTTCTTAATTTTTCTCATTAACCCACCCTTCCCTTCATTTTACTTCCTCTCCCAATGTTTTCAGAAAAACAGCCTTTGGTAAAGATTTTAACCGGGAGCCAAATCTTCTAGGTAGTTCTTTTTTTTGTTTTGTTTGCTTGCTTGTTTTTGCTTTTAATATTTTTAAAAATGTATTTATTTGGCTGTGCAGGGGTCTTAGTTGCTGCATGTGGGAACTTTTAATTGAGGCATGTGGAATCTTTAGTTCGCTAGTCAGGGATCGAATCCATGCTCCATGCAGTGAAAGTATGGATCTCAACCTCTGGACCACCAGGGAATTCCCTGCTGCTGCTGCTAAGTCACTTCAGTCGTGTTCGACTCTGTGCGACCCCATAGACGGCAGCCCACCAGGCTCCCCCGTCCCTGGGATTCTCCAGGCAAGAACACTGGAGTGGGTTGTCATTTCCTTCTCCAATGCATGAAAGTGAAAAGTGAAGTGAAGTCGCTCAGTCGTGTCTGACTCTTAGCGACCCCATGAACTGCGGCCAACCAGGCTCCTCTGTCCATGGGATTTTCCAGGTAGGAGTACTGGAGTGGAGTGCCATTGCCTTCTCTGGGGAATTCCCTAGGTAGTTCTAATTGTTATGGCTCACAGCACAAGTAGCAGTGAAACCTGCAAGTTGTTGTGAACGCTGTGATGTTGATGAAATCTGTACTGACATCAGAATGAGATGTGACGCTGTGGAAACTATCAACAAGGCCTGTGCGTAAGTAGAAGTCAGAACGGCTGTCAGGTCAGGGTCATGACTAGTGGAGACTCAGCCTGGTATTAAGGGCCTCCTGGACATTCTGAGAGATTGTATATTTGGTCAAGAGAAATGGGTGTCTTAACACTTAAGTAAAACAGTCTCATCGATGGATCAAGCAGGACAGACCTACTGGGACCTCACATTCACAGTCTTAGGTTATGGAGGCCCAGAATGTGTGTGCATGCCTACAGACTGATGGCTGGTCAGTAGCTCAGAAGGATGAATCTAAGGGAAGAAACATCTTAATTAGTTATGTTATTTCTATTTAAACTTTGTGATGCATTTAAGTAAAGCATATTCTGGCATGTTCACATATTGTTTGATGAAGAAACAGCTTGTCTACCTGTTGTGGACATCTGTTTTCAAGCTAAGTTCATTTTTATTTATGGGACATATT